GTTACATAATGTCCCCACTGGAGGCCATCTGGGGGTCCAAAAGTTGCAAGGCAAGGTGAAAGACCGTTTTTATTAGCCCGAGTGGTTTAAGGACGTAAGGGCTTGGGATCGGGAGTGTGCTGACTGTGGCTCGGTTAAAATGCATGGAGGAATACCTCGTGCACCTTTGGAGCAGTCACTGACCTCTAGGCCCTTTGAACACATTGCAGTGGATATTTTGGGTCCACTTCCTGAGACCGGACTGAGAAATAAATACATCATGGTAGAGGGTGACTACTTTTCTAAATGGACGGAAGCCTTTCCACTCCCTAATCAGGAGGATAAATGATCACGAGGGTTCTGACCGAGGAATGGGTGTGTCGGTTTGGGGTACCACAGAGCCTCCATTCCGACCAGGAGAGGAACTTCGAGTCAAAACTATTTCGAGAGCTATGTGGACTCTTGCAGATGCATAAAACATAAAACAAGGACAACCCCCTATCAATTACCCCCTTAATCAATTTCCCGAGCTTCAGAGATGATATGAAGGACCGTTTAGGATTCTCGAGCGGGTGACAGATGTGCTGTACAGACTGGTACTCATTGAGGGGGTCCTGAGAGTGTGATTCACTTCAATCGACTTAAGCCATGAAATGCTCTTCCAACAGTTGCAGCACCGATGGCTGTGGGGTCCCAAGAGAGAGCGGGGCAGAGGCTGCGTCAACAGGATACCACCTGGGAAGACACCAGCAGGGTTCATTGACGGTCTGCAGGGACGAGCGGTTCTGGTGACGCAAGTGACCCAGCCCAAACACGTGGAGAGGCTGCTCGAGGGGGTGCTGCTGCAGGAGGACCGGAAGGACATCTCCCTGGGGAGGTCGAGGGACATGGAGCTGCGGAACAACGTGTGGTTCATCAACCGGATGCCACCAACCGTCAACCGGATGCCACCTGGGAGGACACCAGCAGGATTGATCAACGGTCGGCAGAGACAAGTGGTTCCAGTGACTCAAGTGACCCTGCCCCATCACGTGGAGAAGCTGCTCGAGGGGGTGCTGCTGCAGGAGGACCGGAAGGACATCTCCCTGGGGAGGTCGAGGGACATGGAGCTGCGGAACAACGTGTGGTTCATCAACCGGATGCCACCAACCGTCAACCGGATGCCACCTGGGAGGACACCAGCAGGATTGATCAACGGTCGGCAGAGACAAGTGGTTCCAGTGACTCAAGTGACCCTGCCCCATCACGTGGAGAAGCTGCTCGAGGGGGTGCTGCTGCAGGAGGATCGAGAGGATGTATTCCTGGGAAGGAAGAGGGACATGGAGCTGTGGAACAACGTGTGGTTTGTCAGAGGAGGCCCCCCCGCTTGGTTCAAGGATTATCGTGTGGATGTTTAGGACTCGAGGGTGAGTCCTTCAGGGCAAGAAGGGGGAGAGCGTGAAAGACAGAAGACCGGAGTTGCCGGATTCTGAGGGCGTGGTGATTGGACGCCGGCTGGTCCTTGTTATGGGTAGTGAGGCCAGAGAGAACAAAAGGGTGGCAGATCTACCAAGGTGGTGTGTGTGGTCAACCTGTCATTGTGGCACCAGATCCCGAGGGGGTGGGATCGTTCGCAGTCGTTTAAGACTGCCGGCGATGAAGATAGTTGAGCAGGTGGCAGTGTTCCAGCGATAGGAGGGAAGGCTTGGCGCCTTCTTTAGGTAGCGAGGGCTGGGAGTAGTTGGGTGCCGAGACCACACCGACATCTGCCGCCGCAGACTCTGGCAGCCGGACCTAAGTTGTGGATTTACCCGCCGTCCTCGCAAGCTGAGCCCCGGGGCGTTGGACGGTGTCGGAAGCTCAGACCCCGGGGAGAGGGTTAGATCAACTGGGACAGCCAAGTACCGCTGCTTGCTTTAATTTATGCTGATCAGCTGGCTTGTAGTGTGAATGACTAGTGTTTTATTGTTGATTGTGATTGTTTTATTATTGCCGGTGTGAATAAAGGCTCTTTTTGGATAAGTTGTTGCCTACTGGTGCTGTTTTCGGGTTCTGGCTGGAGGGCAAGATATTCTGCCCGTGCTCCCACTGAAACTTATATTACAGTACTTACAAGACTCCCGAGTTGAAAGCTGGAATGTGACATGTCACCCATCACCTCACTAATGCTGTTTACGTGGTTTGATATCAGCCCAGACTACACATGTTAAAGGTTTACTGATATATGTTTTGTCCGCCTTAGGTTAAAAACAACGGTGCATCAGAAAGTAAAAACTCTTCTTCCTTTGTGTATTTGGAAACGCATTTAAAAACAGACGGCTCCCATTGTCAGGTGGTAGATTATACCACCCCCTTGTGGTCAAAATACAACAGCACATGCATTTTAATGTCTATTGTCTCAAATCTGCATCTCATCAGTCCCATACTTAGGAGTCCGCCGTCGTTACGCTGCGGTACCCAGATCAAACCGCTACACAGTAAGCGTGTCATGACAAGTTTGAACGAAGCGAGTGTATTTTTAGGTTTTCTAATATCAAAAACCTCACGTGAGAGAAGGGATATTCTTGTGTTTAATAACAATAATAGTGACATTTTATGGCGCAGGCGCGGTGGCCAAGTGGTAAGGCGTCGGTCTCGTAAACCGAAGATCGCGGGTTCGAACCCCGTCCGTGCCTTTTGTATGACAGGAGAGTAAAGTACGTGTCATCTTCACAGACATCCATTATGTAATGTCATAAAAGATGTTCTTGCTTTAATTCAGACTTATCTTTTATTCACAGAGGAACAAAAGCCCTGGTATAAAACCCCCACTCAGATTCAATCTAATCTAAATTTGTGAGATATTCTACTGTCACAGGAGAATGATAACAGGCTTTATTTCATTCATTATCTGCTGGCACTGATCAAGCAGACCTTTTCAGTTTCCTGGGTAACATACAGTTCCATCATCATTCACAGAGTCCATCTCTGTAAAGCAGAACACGATGATGCAAAGAAACAACTGAAAAGAGTTTGCAAAACACAAATAACATCCAAAATGTTCAATCTAAAAAAAATAAAATAGGACAAACATTAGTGGTCTATTTGTCGTTATAGGGAAACAAAAAACTTCTTTATACTGACCGATCGTTGGATTGCCAAAGGCGTTTACATTCGTGTTCCAGAAGGTACCAAGGCTGTGATTTTTATGGCTTGGCCGATGCAAACAGCTTTCTTTCTTTATCAATTGTGTAAATATTGAGAGTGAGTCTGAATTATATGTTCAAGATGTGTAACGAGTTTACTTATCATTGTTTTCCTGCCTCAAGAGGATTTGCTGGGTGTGTTTTTGATGGATGCCTTCATGTTGAGCACTTAGGAGCCAGTTCAGAATGGCTGCTCTTCCTGATGAATTCTGTCAATTCTAATAAATGATAGTACAGCAAGCGCAACGACACACACTTGCACTTTGCGGGAATGACTGGGTGTCCAAATATTTGGAAAATTAATTATCGGGTCTCTTCTAAAAAGTTTTACTCTTTCACAAGATGTAGTGTTAAATCAGCAGAAAGCTTTGCTGAGAGAGAAAATGATAAGAAACATTAAGTAAAAGCAAAATATGCTGTTTCGAATTCTCCTTAAGGGTTAGGTGATGGTGGCAAGATTTAATCAAATAGTTTGCTTTTTTATTTATGCTGACAATATTTCAAAAAGGTTCGGAAACCTGTTTTTCTCCCAGCAAGGGAGAAAGTTAGTATAAAAGTACAAAGTTTACATCTTCTGTAAGCTTTTCAAGCATCAATTAGTGACTCTGCTCCTTCTAAAGCAACAATGTCATGTGTTTGCAGGATCTGTGGTCGGCATTTCATCAAACACAGGACTTGCTGCAGAAAAATAAATATTACATGTGGGGAATTTAAAGGTGCAGTATGTAAGAATATAGTGAGAATTTTACAGACCTAAGAGTCTAATGTTTCAGTCCTTTTGGAAGGAAGGTTATACTGAAACCGACTTCGTAACCACCTGGCTGCTGGATTGTCAGTTTTTGTCCTTTCAAAACAAAGGAAGGAAGGACATAATTACTGTTTCCCATCAGTGAGCGTGGGGGTGCCGTCTCTCCTGTGAGCTAACACTGCAGAGCCAACTACTGTATTGTAATTTGACAACGGATGACAAAAGGCTCCAGAGTTGTTTAAAGTGGTTGCAGTAACCAAATTTTACCACATGATGTAATTTATACCTCGTTTCTACATAATGCACCTTTAAGAGATGCCTTGCTAGATCAAACAGTTTGTTCCTTTGATTCTTTAATCTTAAACGTTTGGCATCAAGTCACAGCAGGAAGACACGCGTTTATACGAACTGAAGGAGAAGTGATGAAATCTGCTTAGCTGGAATACACTTGGAGAAGATTTAAAAGCAGCTGTTCAAAAAATCAAATAAAACTAGAACCAAAGCAACAAAAGAAACCTGGTGGTTCAGCAACAACACGACCAATGGAGGTAAACAGGGCAACACCTGGGGCTTCTATAGACTCAAGTATCTTCCTCTCTGACGCCAGCTAAGAGAGTTTTTAATTATTATTTAGATCTGACAACAGAGTAAATGTAACATGGCTGTTCATTTCCTTAAAAAAGCTGGACCTGGATTTCTTTCTTTTGGAGATACGTAGTTAAAAATAAGAGGTTCAGCGGTTAGACACACTCAAATGAGTGTTTTTGTCCCTTCAAAGTAGCTGCTGCTGAGGTCGTGTTGCTGCAGACTCTGGCTTTTTTCAAATTCCAGCAAAGTAAATAATTAAATCAGTTCAAAAACACCTCGGGCTCTGCTCTGCTCTGCCCATCAGCAGCACATTTTAAAAGTAGCACTCTGATTGTTGCTTTTTGATTAAAACTGAACCCTCCAGCAGAGATTTGACTAAGTTTCTCAGTAATCTGATTGGCATATCAGACACCATTTATCTTATATCTATTTTAAAACTCAAGATGATAAAAAAATAAGCTGATTAACATGCACGTAGTCACCAGTTTTTGTTTTTTGCATGACCAAAAAGGCACACAAGACATAAAAAATGGTTTTATTGTGTCAGTAAATGTTACATGTTGGATGCTCCGAGCCACACATGAAGTCTGGCCATAAGGCGTATTTCTGGGTGTAAGGTGCCTTTCTCAAACACTTGGCTGCCTCTCTGTCACACTTGCACAGAAACTTTTCACATTTGTCCTCCAAGTCATCTGGAAAGAAAAACAAAAAGGAGGAATCTTTGTCATTAAAAAATAGTTTCACGCCTTTAACTTAAAATTGTTTGCTTTCTTTCTTGATTAGAAGTTAAAAAAAAAAAGTCAAAAATTGTGTTAAAATTTCCACGAACCAGATTCTTTAGAATATTCTGGGCTCCTAAGAAAGCAGCGTGCTTGCATGTGTTCTTGAATGAATGATTTCAGAAGGACAGCTGATGCTTTTTGCTCCAAATGTCAAGAGAAAACTTATTTTTACCACACTCAGCTTTCCTGTCCTCACACGTCCACTGATACTGAGCTGTTTTGGTTTGGCAGCCGAGGCGTTCTGCATCTCCATAACAGCAGTCGTGCTTGTGGCAACACCTACAGCACAGAGAAATGCACAACTAGGTGATTAATTTTGCTTTTCTGGAGTGGCCTGGGTCAGGAGAGCAGCAGACGAGGGTGGGATGCCACAGCGCGGCCTCGCTTTTTCACAGCAGATAATTTAGCAGTCGACTGGGTTTAAGTGGGTGAGATGTCTTGTGGTGAGAATGGAAAACAAGGAGATGGTAATTAAGATTTGGGTGTGGAGTTTCAGACCTATTCTGAAATCCTTTTGGGACCGTGTGAGTCTGCTGAATGTGGACACAACTCATCGTGTCGTATTTGTGGTTTCAGAAACGGAAACTGTCTGGAAGTCCGATGGCGGAGGAGAGGAGAAAACAACCAAAAGGAGGGAATTACGTGCGCGCACCGTCCGTGAACCAACACTGAGAATGATGCATTTTGGAAAGGATAATGTCTGGGTAGCTAATATATAAGATCTGCTGATTACCTGCTTTTCTGGCACACACTATAATCAGGTGTTAAAAGTATTTTTTACAGCAATAAAAGTAAACTGCAGTGTGAACATCCAGATCTGGGGTGAGATGACGGCAGCTGCCTCACCAGTCGGCCTGGTCTCTGGGCCAGCCTTGGCCTCCCAGACCACAGTAGCATCCGTACATCACATAAGCCAAAGCAGATCTCTCTGTGCTGCATTTGATGGCTCCAGCCAGCTCAAGCAACCCTCGTTTCCTCCGCTGGGGGGAAATTTGCTCTGCCACAGAAGCTGCAGCCACTGAAGAAGAAGAAATTAACAACAAAGGAGGAGGAACAAACTTGTCAGTTTCGTGGTTTTCTCCACACACGGGAGACTCAGGTGCAAATCTGTGATGGATTTTGTTGAGGAACTCTAATTGTAGCAGCACTTAAACCCACAGAGACTCCTCTTAGCAACGTTCTCTCTATGGACCGACTACACCCTCCTGTCTCATCAACACTCTGCTTGAACATCACAAAATGATACCTAGAAGACCGCAAAAGCAGACGGATTCACGGGGTCAAATCCCAAAATCTGTCTGCTCTTATGTCTTTTTACCAGAGCTCAGAGACGGTCTTTAATCAAAATGAAAAATCCTACCTGCTCTGACTCCCTCTGTGTCCTTCAAATCATTCCTCCTGCTGCCACTCAAGCTGAGCTTCCACTTCAAACAGAAACAACTTACCTGATAAGAGGAGGAGTGTTCGGAAAAGTGTCATCACGGCACGCAACAGGCAGCTGAGCCCTTCCCAGCAAGTGTTGCTGATGGTCTGAGTGCAGCGAGAAGTGGGAGCTGCTTTTTTTAGAGGCTGTTGGAATAATCTCCTGAGGATCTCTATTGGCCAGAGGCTAATCCAGTGTTTGTGAAACTGGGCTCCCTCTGCAGGAATAAACTTCACTTGCACTTCTCAGAGTTGGCATCTGGCAGGTTTCAGACAACTTAACAGTTTATCCTGTAATTAATCATTTATTATACTTTCGATATGTTTGTTAATTATGTAATGCATATGAATGACGTCTGATTGGTCAAATTCATTCAAACCCTTTAGAAATTGTAAATTGCTCTTTCATCTTTTTTAGACGTTCCTGCATCTGTACACACAAAAACAAGCAGTAATTTAAAACATAAATAAAATGATGTGATGTTTTTGAATGCAAAGTTCAAATTCCCCGATGGCAAAGTTCTCCTTTACAGTCCTTTAGCAGTTTATGCAGGATTGTTTTTGAGTGCGTGCTGAGGTTAGTAAAGGCTAACAGTTCAGTTTTGGGTCCGACCTACAATCATTTGCAATAAATAATAATTTCAACCAGTTTTGAATTAGACATTTCTGTAGGATGGAAAATCTGATCAAATAAAAACATTCCCAAAGAGGAAATATTCCGTTTCTGTAAGTCAAACAAGAAGCACAAGTTCCACACAACACCTCCAACCTCTTATACTTTAAAAACAGACAAAAGCAAGGATCTGCATCAGTTGTGGCTTCATGATTTAACTGGAGCTCACTCTTCAGGTTTTCCTCCAGTTGGGTTTTTACAAACAAGAACATTTTCCATGTTGTGGCAAAGCATTGGAACAGTAGCCTCATCTTGAACCTGGACAAACAAAGATGAGTACTGTTGGTTTTAAAAGGACGAGGAATATGCCAACGTAAATCTCCACCTAGGAAGGTTCTGGAGGACAACAGACACTTCTTTGTTCACCTGCTGGAAACGCGACACAAATGGAGAAATCGTAAACTCTGATTCTTGACAACGTTCAAGTCTTTTAGTTTTTCCAACAGGATGATACATTTGTGGGAAATGACACATAAAGCCAGTTCTGTTCTAGGAAAGAACAAAGTTGAGACAAGAATGTTGCAAAAGTTGCTTAATCTTAATCAGATGTTTTCATTTTCCTTTCTGTTGTTGACACAAATATGAGCATGCTTTCACTGAAACAGGAAGAAAACACGCACAATATGTACACATTTAACTTCATCTCTTAGCTAAGTGTTTTAACTTGTTGTAATGTTGACTCTTAAAAACCACTGATCTGCCTTTAGAGACATTTATACTGAAAATAAAAAACAAACAAGCATAAAGTTCAAGTCTGACATTTAATTGATTTATTGTACAGTTATAAAAAGAGAGGTCCAATATTTCAAAGACTTTCAAGTTAGGCAGCTTTTCACTTACATTAGGGCAGGCATGTCCAGTGAGCGGCCTGGGGGCCATTTCCAGCTCGCTGAGCGATTTTGTATGGCCTCCACTTCAATTTCTAGAATGGTGAGTTTTGTCTCTCCAATAGGATGTTGATATAGATTGCCACTTTCTAACATGTCATGTTCAGATTATTACTTAGAAGCCTTTTTTAGATTCATTTCAAAGAGTATACATTTAAAAAATATATATAACTTTTTTTACATATTTTTTTATTTATGAAAATCACATTCTTGCGGACCCCATTGACTTCAAACATGTCATTTGTTGGCCCTCGCTTTGAAAAGTATGGACATCTCTGCTTTAGGGGAAAACAACCCAAAAATGCCTTGATAAAAATGTGCAATGGTTTAAAAAAAACTCAGAAATCATATTTTATAGAACTGCGAAAACTTGAAGATAGAAATATGTCTTTAAAAAATCATGTAATGTCATTGTTTTATTGTATAAAGTCGAGATTTCTACTCGTGTTCAACAGTCGCCAGTAGAGGGCAAACGAGCACGGAAGTAGGCGATCGCTCTCCTTAACAACTCACGAAGAAGAAGCAACAGCAAAGGAGGACGGCCTTCATCGACACAACCAGCTAATTTCTTGTTAGCTCAAAGGAAAAAAACATTTCCCCTCTATTACATACAGAGTTAAGGGTTGTTTGGAATTAGGACCCATTCATGTAAGTGTCTAAAGCAGTTGTTATTCAGTAATAGGTTGATTAATTTTCTCAGCCAGGAGCTAACGTCTAACACTCGCTATTGTTTGCGTTGAGGAACAAGTTAACTTGGACGTGCCGATGCTTTGTTAGGTCCCGACTACTTTATGAAAACTTACACCGTACGCCTTCTTACTGATTAGATCTGTGTTTGGGAAGAGAAGCAATCAATTATCTTCAGACGTATTTTAAGGCTGTGTAAAAATGCTAAGTTTGCTAGCGAGAGATACCGATGGCTGACGAGTAGTCGTTGGTGCCTGTCCGCGGGTTACACACGTGCGCTAAATGTTGTATGCCTATTATCGGACAGCTGTAAGTTTTTAGAACGGGGCTCGCATTTTCATTGATAGCCCAGAATTTTTGACTACACGCAATCGTTTGGGTCTGAATGTGATCGAAATTAATGGATTTTGTAGAGTCAGGTCTAACTGCCTAAAGCTGGCACCACCGGCAAATGCGCTACCGAAATCCTCCTTCAGCTATCTTAAATCATTCTAGGAACGTTAAAGGAAATGATAAAAGAGACAATTCAGTGATATCTGTGGGTAAATACGGCTTTTAGTAGTTGTGACAGATCTTTTTATTTATTTTTTGACCGGTGCTGTAAACTACGGTGGCATCACGACTACAGCCTGACCCAGTTCTAATAAACAACGCTTTGTTTTCAATAAAATGTTTATGTTGAGACTTTGTCCAAGATAAGAAAACAGAAACAAAGGCAAACACGGTGGTGAATACAGCAGTTTCTGTGCCCGGTAAACAGACTTTTCTTTTTGATGCTAAGTCTTACGTTTTCCCTCGAGTACATAGTTTTCATTTTACAGTTGTAAACTAAAAATGTTGATATATATATAGATGTAAAGGGTGATCATGCAGATATAATATATAATGGTTATTTATGATAAACCAGTTATTTCTACTTCATTTGAGCTATCGAACATCGCTTTAATCCCCATTTCCGGAACTTCAAAATGTGTCGTCATTCTTAAACAAGGAAGCGGGAGAGGATCACAGGGCGAAGCCTCTGGGTGCTCACAAATAGTGACTTGACATGAGTAATGGACTCATTACCGAAACAGTGAGGCAGCCTGGTGCTGCTGCTGCTGATGATTATGATGATGAATAAAAAAAAAGTACTTAAACGCGTTAAGCTTTTTAAAAGTCTGGATAATGCTGTTTGATTTCAGGTGCAGTCTGAGGAGAGGATACTGAAACACAGTTATGTCCGGAGTGTTTCGGGACAGACGGAGTCGCTGGCAGGAGATTCAGAAAGGCCTTGAGTTCATTCAGTAAGTGTAGATTATCTCATAAATGTTCATGCCTAAACTCAAAAAGATCCCTCGTGGTTGTTGAAAACAAACAACTTCTACTTGACATCACACTTGATGCATCAAACCCAAGATATTTGATCTTGTTTTTGCATTGCAATTACTTGCTAATTCTAATAAAAAACATAGTTCAAATAAAGGGAAATGTGATAATAATCTCTACAGCGCATTGTCAGTTGTTTTACATTATATTTGGGATATTTGTTTATCAACTGGATTGTTTCCTGTATGTGAGTGCACTTTTCCGCTATTAAAGGAACCTGATGTAACAAGATAATTGACGTATGTAAACACACTCGTTAAATATGCTGGTGAAGGTTCTCCATCATCCAGGTCACGGTAATCCAAAGGGTTCAAATGAAGGCAACTGGACTTCTTTGGTTTCTTGAAGACTTTTCGCTTCTCATCCAAGGAGCTTTGTCAACTCTAACTACGCATATCACCAAGAGCAGTAAAAAAAAAAACTAATTGAATGGTCAGCTCAAATGTTTGCCACACAAAATGCATTTAGTCAATCTGATGGAATCATGGAGTTTTTGACAAATCAAATGGAGCTCTTCTCCCATTTGGCCAATCGGGTGGTGGATGGCACTTAATTTAGCAAACAACAGAATTAGCTTTCTTCTGCTGATTCTGCTTTTCCCAGGACCTACTGATTGCCCTTTCTTGTTCATTTTTCTTTTCCTTTCCCTCACATCTTTTGATCACCATTTTTCTTTTCCCACTTTTATAATTTTTTTTGTCCTTTAAATTTTTTTAATTAATTAATTTATTTATTTTTGTTCTAGAGTTAAGGATTTGTTTGTTGCAGTTCATATCATCATTGCAATATTAATCACTGTTATTGCACATCACAGGTTTCCCCACAATGGGGAAATTCATTTGTTAAAGCAGCACATAGACTTAAAGAAAAGGAATAATATAATACAGGTAAATATACAAAGGCAGTAGGCTATTATTGTAACCTTCAGCTACTAAAGAATGAATAAAATAGAAAATTAAATTTCCAAGAAGAAACGGCGTAAAGGCCGCAAATATAAAAATGTGCATGCAGGTATTGGACAGGCACTGATATTATTGTGTAGCAGGATAATGCCACTACCAGTTAAACTGAGGAGTTATAAACTCTTACTGCAGAGGGAATTAATGACCTACGGGGGCGTTCTGTTTTACATCTTGGATGTCTCAGTCCGCCAATAAAATGCAGCATAATTTAATCCACTGAAGGACAGAGAGCTGTTGTGTGATATAAAACGTGGCATTCAAAGACAACAAAGCCTTGTGGATTACGTCGTTGTGGGATTTGTGCAGCGTTTTTGGTTGTTGGGTGTTTACTAATAGCTATTTTAAAGCATCGGTGCTTATTTGCTTGTGCTTTCATTCAGCTGCATTAGCAACTCTTCGGATTTTACTAATGCTGGTTGTTTTGGACAACGTCTGCTTACGTCATTCCATTCTGAGTTACAACCAATCAGCACGGGTTGACCACACGCTTCTCTCAGCTACTCTACCGGGCCTTTCTGAGTACTTAGGTACTCAGTTTGTCCCTGAAAATGACCATGACCTCTATGTGAGCAATGGAAAACCCCATATCAGTTGTTCTCTCTAAAATCTGGGGCTTCCAATTAAATTCATGTGAGAAAAGTCTCTACATGTATACATGCATCCACCCTCCAGTGATGCTTCGGTTTATATAATGTTTTAAAAAGAACACAGAATAAAGATTTTAAAAGGGTTTGTGCTTTTGGTTTGAATTTTGCTTGCAGGTTTTGTGAATCTAGCTGTAGCGAGACTTTGATATCTCACTGTCCTGCTCCATAGTATAAAATAAAATGATACAGTAATTATTAAAAGGGGAAAAATGCATCACAGCCCATTTGCTTCAACAACATTCTGGTTGCACCGTGATTGTTCAGATCAGCTGTGAAGCAGCTGATTAGTGGCTTTTTCTTTGCTTGCCTTTCTGTGATGTGGGATATCTGTGCTTTGTTTTCATGGATCACCAGAGGCTAGAGGTTTGTTCACACGTTGTTCTAGACTGATCTGTACAGCACAGTGATGTGGCACTTCCTCTCGTTTGATAGGGCTCGTTATTTTGAAAACAATGTTGTCACATTTAACTTAAGTGTGTCATTGGGCGGCAGTAGCTCAATTGAGCGGGTTGTCCAGTAATCGGAAGGTTGCAGGTTCGATCCCGGCTCCGGACAGAGAATCCTGCTGTTGTGTCCTTGGGCAAGACACTTAACCCACCTTGCCTGCTGGTGGTGGTCGGAGGGACCGGCGGCGCCTGTGCTCGGCAGCCTCGCCTCTGTCAGTGCGCCTCAGAACAGCTGTGGCTACACTGTAGCTCATCCCCACCAGTGTGTGAATGTGTGTGTGAATGGATGAATGATACACTGTAGTGTAAAGCGCTTTGGAGTCCTTACTTCAGCGCCTTGGGCTTCCTGACAGGGTTGCGGAAGGCGCTTTATAAATAAAGCTTTGATTGATTGATTGATACTCTGAGAGGCGCTCTACAAGTGCGGGTCATTTATCATTATCATTGTCGGTCACGTAGCTAGCTAGTACACGACACCATGTATTTCTGACCCAGAAGACCTTTAGCTGAACCTGGAACTGGTGATAGAGAAGCAGCAACATGTGGGAAAGTAGATGAACTTAGATGTAGCTGTTGTCTCATAACTTCAGTGTGTGATTAGGTTGTGTTCATCTTAGGTGCATTATTGGATTTCTCCGTCCTGAGTTTGTTTTCACTGATTTGCAGAAGAGTTCAGTCAGCTTTAATTAAAATGTCACATTTCCAAATTCCAGTGTGCACAGAAGGCTTGCAGCTGAGCCTGATTTCAGCATGAAGGGGCAGCGTTTCCCTATTTATGTGTAAGGTCACAGCCTTTTATTTGGTTTGTAGAGGAAATGGCCTGAGAAGTCTGGCCTGCATCAGGTGTTTGACAGTTACATCATCTGTGAGTCTTTTACGTTGCTTAGATGAACCATGTTGGTCAGCGAGTGTTTACAATTATTTTCATGTTTTAAACCGGGGGGGGGGGGGGGGGGGGGGCTGGTTTAACTGAGAGTTGAACCATTTTAAAGGCTTTGGACCAAATGAGAAGTAATTAAGGTCTAAACTCCAACCAAACCTACTCGTTTTCATGCAGGTGTGTTTTTTTATTTCACTTTTAGATCAACCCTTCCATTTCCTGGAAGCCAAGAGCAGTATGAGGTAAGCATTTTAAATTCAGTGTGGGTGTATCTCCTTTTCTCTTCCATCAACGTGTGTTGGTCTAATGAAAAGACTGGGTTTCAGAGGAGGCTGAGCGGTAGGCAGCCAGCTCTACTGGCATATAAATACATAACCTACACTTTTCTGATTGATTCTCACTGCCCAGGTGTTCATAAAGGACCTTGTGTGTAATCTGTTTGGAGAGGGGAATGACGTGTTTAAAGAAGGGGAATGGACAAAATCCATAGAGATGTACACCGAAGCACTGAGTATAGCAGATTACGCAGACTCAGAAGACATCTGTATTCCCACTGGTTTACTGGAAAAACTGTATGCAAATCGAGCTGCTGCGTACCTCAGCATAGTTCCGGTGAGTAGGTGGGATCTGCCACACCGACTGTTTAATTTCACTTCCTCTCCTTTTCACTGAACAGAGTGTATTTTAAGAAAGATGACAAACATTTATTGTGACCTGTTGGATCGTTCTGTTAAATGCTGATTATTTATAGACATTAACCACTGGAGGCTTTTCACTTATTTGTATGCTTATTCTGATTCATTCATGTCAAATAAATAGAGGGGTGTATGTATGCAACTGCATTTTCATACGTCAACACTGGTGCACTGTTGTTGTTCAGCCTGAGGGCATGTAGCAGACTTTAGCATGACGAGTGACTGACGCCGGTAAGGAGATCCACTTACCTTCAGTACTAACGAACATTATGAGATCTTTTTTATCTCGTCTTTAGTTTCCTAATTAATACACAACATTTTTTAGTTTTGCAACAGTTTGTAAAACTTGCTGTTTTGGGCAATTTTGATCATCCATCTTCCTGGCAAATGACAAACGAGGATAAAGACACAAAAAAAAAAAGTAAATTCAAAGCTCAGGACCCTTGGGAAGTGACTATTTGATTTGGTTCTAATGAAATGCACTTAAGCCCAAGTAAAGATCATGTCATCTGTGGTAAATCAGCACAAATTTGCTGAGATGAACCTTTTTTTTCTGTGAATCCATCTGCCGCTCCCTTTGGTGAGATAGTTTTGGTGTTTGTCACACTGACGTCTTTCATTTAGGCAAAAGAAATGCTTTGGAGGAGATTTCTTTCATGTTTACATTGAGTTCCACAACAGGCCAGTGAAACACTTAATTGTTGTCAGAGCTGAACACACCCAACTCCAGCAGCTGAACACATAAAGCCAATTTGGGAAGAAAATAGAGCTTTGCTTGCTGTCCCTGCAACATTAAGGTAGGCTTCATATTTTTGTTTCTGTTCACAGGGATTGTATGACCAAGCACTAGAAGACTGTGAAAAGGCTCTCCAGTTAAATGAGGGGAACCACAAAGCACTGTACAGGAAAGCAAAAGCCTTGAAAGAGATGGGGAGACATCAAGAGGCCTATGAGGCTGTTGCCAAATGCTCTCTTGCTGTGCCTCGGGTAAGGATGCATTTCTGCTCACTTTCCACACTAAAGCTAAGGGAAGAAGCATCAGATTACCTGCAGTCACATGGGAACACTCCACTGAGCCATCATGCCGACTCCCCTGCCCGTTTAGATTCTCCATGCAATCAAGACTCAGTCCAACATAAATGTAAAAACACTTTTTCAATAAATTCTTTTGATTTTTTTTTTTTACAGGTTTTTATAAACCCATCCAACAAAACAGAATCAATGTTGTAATTAAGATTTTCACCAGGAAAGCACATCAAGAAGTGGCTGGTTGCTCCTAGAAATAAAAAAAACTGCACAAAGATTTTCTGACGCTTCTTTGTTTTTTTTAGGATTCCAACGTCACTCAGTTGACTCAGGACCTTGCCAAAATTTTGGGGTTGAAAATCCGTAAAGCTTACGTAAGAAGTAAGGTATGTGTGTATAAACAACACACACACACAGATATCTGACCGAGTGCCATTGCTTACTTTTGCCTGAAAACTAGTTCAGCACCTTTGAGTTGATGTTTCGACACGTTTAACTGTGAGACTTTCTGACATTTGGATTCATTCAGTGCGAAATGTTCAAACCTTGTTAAGAGTTTTTATCTTTATTCTTTTAACAGCCTGCCTTGAATGTTTTGCGGGGATCTAACTATCAAGATGCATCATGTGACAAAGTGAGCATCATTAGCCACACCTTTAGAATCATGTAAAAACGACATCTCAACTAATCTCGGTCCATTTTCCATTTTCAGTTTTCTCATGACTCTGCTTCAGTTGAAGATATAGAAATTGGTGAGATTTGTTTAACAAGCGTTGATTCGACTCTGAGGAGGAGGTGGGACGTGGATGAGTCATCTTGTGCTTCTTTGTGTTTTTAGACGTGCCTCCATTTTCCCAGGATAGCAGTGTTTTACCCCCAGGTCCAGCTCCAATCAAACCCCCGTTAGCGCTACATCCACCTTTGAAAGACTTGGTGGTTGATGAACTTCCTTCTAGCAACAGTATCTTATCCGTAGCCCCATCGGAGCCTCCGGGCTTCGAGTCTGTCTCTTTGCCCGTTTCTGCGCCCACTTCAGTTCCTCTTTCTGTGCACACGTTTGTAAACGGGTGTCGAACTGGCAAGTCTCATCCCATTCTTGAACCCAGTCAAGATTTTGATACAGACCTAATTGGGGACGACCTAGACGATCTTCTGGACCAAGCTGGCCCTGAACCAAGCCTGGTACAGATCTTTACTGATATGTAATAAATGCCAGAGGAGATGTTTTTATAACCTGTTTGTGTCTTCCCTCAGGTCATTCCTACGGTGAAGGGGCCCCTCCCTTTACCCACCAGTATTTCCTCGGGTAGTTCTTTGTCAAACCCATTCCTGTTGCCACCGGACATAAACCCATTTCTGCACAGCAGTACCCAGCAGTACACTGTAACTCTGCCGCCTCTTTATAACAAGTCTGGGTCGAGTACATATTTTGGTATGGACACTTTTGACTCCCTTTCCTCACCCCTGGACTCCCTCGATAGTCTCTCCATATCAGACTATAAATCAGGTGCGTTACTTGACGTGTTCTCTAAAATTTTGTGTTTTTCTCTGGTTTAAATCAGCGTTTGTGCAGACAAAACTGATCATTTTTCTTCTTTAATCTTCAGATTATGCTCCTGGTCCCTTCATTCCACAGGTAATCGCTTTTCTTCATCAGTGTTGTTGAGATGCCATCATTTTATTCCAGTCTCTTATAGCATTGCATTGTTTTAAACAGCTCAACAACAATGATGCACCAATGGGGATGGCAGTGGGTATGCCCGAGGTAAAGGACCTTCCTGCTGCTGTGGATTTAGCAAAGAACCCCTTAGCTGAAACTCATGAATTCAAACAGGCCTGCTCGATGTGCCACGTCAAAACAGGTGAGGTCTGCTTGTGGAGTTGGCAGGAAGTAGGGCGGACCTGTGAGCTCTCGGGTCCTTTAGGCCTAGATGTAAAGACCTTTTCATGGCTACTCTTTGATCTTGTGTGGGGTTGCATTGCTAAACTATAACAGTCGTGTTAACTCTTAACCTACAGCACTGGTAGGGTTTTTTTCTGAAGGGGAAAACGACTCGGGACCAGAAACATCATAGGTTGCATGTTGGCGCAGTTGTTAGCACTGTTGCCTCGCAGCAAGAAGGTTGCCGGTTCGAAACTCTGCTGCGGCCTTTCTGCGTGGCGTTGCATGTTCTCCCCGTGCATGTGTGGGTTTCCTCCGGGTACTCCGGTTTCCCCCACAGATCACAACATGCCTTATAGGTTCGCAGTTGCACGTCGCTTTGGATTAAAGCGTCTGCCAGGGTATCCGCGGGTCCTTAAAAAGTCTTAAATTTGCTTTTCCAAATTTAAGGCCTTGAAAATCCGTAAAAATGACAAATAATCCTTAAATCCAGTTTCCAAAGGTCTTAAATTACCAACGACCCAATAAACAAGATTATTTTATTTCTATAGAAATTTTTGTGAATTTCTAGTTAGTGTTCAGCATTTTTTGTGTACGATGTTGGCGTAAGCGGAACCGTACACATTCAGTTGGTTGTGAAAGGGGGCTATTTTTAGATGAGCACATTAGCTGGTTAAGCTAGTGGGAGCTTGCGCCATGGGGAAGTGCAAGTTTAATGGTAACTGGATGGCTAATCCCACGTTCACGACGTGGTTAGCACCGGCTCCAGGCAATAGCTGGAATATTATAGCTTAAATTTAATTTTTAAAATAGCTTAAATTTGGTCAAAGTGGCCTTAAAAAAGGTCTTAAAAAGTCTTAAATTTGGCTCCCTTAAACCTGCAGATACCCTGGTCTGCCGAATAAAGATAAACAACCGGATTTTAGATTTTTGTTTAAATTCAATTCTGAATAATTACTGCTGTTGTCATATTTGTTAAGTGGCTGGTGTAGTACTACAATTTGTTGTGGCAATGCTTTTAAGATCAGTGTTTTTTGTCATTGTGGAGTCTGACCCAGTGCCAGATGAATCAGGGTGCTGCTTTTCTTTTGGACTGGAGTCCTTTTTCTTGTTGTAAAGTGTTTTAAATTCTTGCAGGGCCTGGAGTGTTAGATTACACTCTTCATACTGAAGATCATAAATGCAAAAAGGATGTATTACTTGGCAGAATGAAACACTCACCTGACAAGATGTGGAAGCTGATCCGACCCAGACCAACAAAAACCCAATATGTTGGACCGTATTACGTTTGCAAAGGTAACTTGTAAACCTTTTTTATTTGTATCCTCCTCCTCTTTTGTCAGTCCTTCCAGGATTTTGCGAAAAGTTGCAACATAAGTTTCAGTGTTTTTATGTCTGATTCTCTTTAATTTAACTAAATCAGTTGAAAATTGTATTGAAAAATCCATTAAACATGTAAAATTATAAAATTCCAACATGTTTATTGTAATAAGTGCACTGGGAAAACACCATCCAGCAGAACACACTTCAAGTTTTACCTTTTCCTTCAAGAATCTTCTCATTGCTGGGTGGTCACTTTTAGAAAGTGCAATATTTTAATGTGTTGTTGGGATGGGTGTGGGTACGGGCTGGGGTATGATCCGATAGCCTCGGCTTGTGTTGGGGCATGGTGGGTGGCTGGCTGTTGGCTTGGGATCTGGGGCACCTTGGTCTGCCTGCTGCCATGGGGGCTGCTCCCAGAATGGGGGCTACTTGGTGCCCTAATATTCATGGCCAAGGGTACCCTCTCCAGCTACCATCCTCACCATGCCTATGGGTTGGGGGCACGGCTCAGTGGTTGCCGGGTGTTGGGGTGGGTCCATGGAGCATGGCGTTGTCTCACTCTGGGCTGGTCTGTATCAGTGGGGGAGACAGTGTGCTGGGCTTTGGCTGGGGGCTGGTGCCCTGACATCCTCTGTCTGCCTGTGGGCTGGCCTATCGGTGCACATCTGCTGGTGGCTATCAGCTGCAGGGAAGTGCCTGGCCTCAGACTCGGGCAGCCCCTCCCTCATCACATACACAAAATTTTTAAAAAAGTAAGCAAAACTCTTTCAAACACATAGCTTAGACTTGCACATTTAGGTAACCACATAAACACACATGAACATATTCTATAAGATATAGACACACACGTGCAAAACTTCATGCTACTACAAATAAGGACAATAACCTCTTAACAGTTATTTTTCCATTGAATCTTGTAGATTTTGTATTACGACGACCCCACTGTTTTGTGTTGTTTTGCTCTGTTGTCCCTCTCTTTGCCTGTTTCTGTTGTATGTCTCTCTTTGATCCCTTCCTGTCTACTCTGGTCAATCAATCAACTTTTATTTATATAGCACTTTATCCTACTATACATGCAACTCAAAGTGCTTAACAAATTAAAAAGGCCCCGCATACCCACATTCCCTCCCATCCCCAGAATTTTAAAAACAGTCTGACAATAAAAAACCCTTCACGACACTCATCCTCCGGCACACACACACACACACATACATGCCCCCTTCCCCATGGTAAAAAAACACGATTGACTGAGATCAGATGAGCCAGACCCGCTAAGATAAGGATAAGGAAACACCATCAGGGGAGCCATCCGCCCCGGCAGCAGCAGATCCACAGCAGCAGCCGAGGCACTGACACAGGGCACCCAGGGCAGGGAGGGCAGAGACCCCCACCTCCACCTAGGCACACCTGGAAAGCATCCAGGCCACCACAGCCGCCTGCCGCCGGGGCAGAGGGCTCCCACAGATGAAGCACTGGAAAAAGGTTAAATTAAGGTTAAAATATAAATTCAAAAGAGCTAAAATGAGAATATAAAAAGTTATATAGATATTAAAATATTTTTGATCATAAATCATGGTTAAAAACTGTTTAAAAAGCACGTATAAAGAAAGAATACATTAAATAAATAAATAACCTAAGTAGTTAAATAATTTAAAAAGTGATCGTAAGTGGTGCGTAAGCGAGTGCGGTCTAACATGCCACAAACATAATAAAGGCTACTGCGCAACTCTTCTGGCGTATTATAGCACCCAGATCAACCCTTCTGTCTGCTACAACGGACAGGACAGGTTAAAAATGGCGTGAAATATTAACTGCTGTGCAAGTAGCCACCCAATCTTCACACATATGTGGTGGAAGAGGTAGAAACAAAAGCAGTTTCAAGTTAAAATGCTGTTATTAATTTAATATTCCTCCTACAAAAATGCATATTTTACAATATAAATTTCAGTTTAATATAACTTTCCCCTTCCTTTTAATCTTTTCTATAGTCTGTACCATGGGTTTATACTATGTGTGTGCATCTTACTTCACCACTTACTTGCACTTGGAAGCATATTTGTCTCGTGTGCTCCCGTGTTTCGGAGACTCTCTGTTGTTTTGCGGCAAAAAAATGTTTGTCAATCGGTGACGTGCATTTGTGTTCAACAACAATGTTGCATGGTGTACAAAATAATTTACTGCCTCTTACATGTAGAGAATGGGGTAATTAGGGTGCAGTAATTTTTGTTGGCAAAGGCAACATATTTCACTCATGAAGAAACAGGAAGTGTGCCTGATGATGTCATGTATACGTAGACAAGAAGAAGCACTGTGATTGGTCAAACATGTGTTGAAGTTGTGCTGATTGGATAACATTGCAAAACTTGCAAGGATTTGCTGAATCTGCAATCGCAACACGACAAAATCCCGGGGGGACTGTTTTGTAGAGCTATGAAGGATGCTAGTTTCTTCTTAAATAGCTAAAATTAAATGTTGATTTCATGTTAGTTCGTCACCATCCATCCTGGTTGGATGCCTCGTTCTGCTGCAGAAGAGCAGATTTTACTATCACTTTGTTCCTTTTCTGTGAGCCATGGTAGCACTAAGAGTGAATACTAAAGTGTGACTGTACCTGTTTCAGAGGTGGCTGTTGGAAAAGAGTGCCTTTACCCTGGTCACTGCACATTTGCATACTGCCAGGAGGAAATTGATGTTTGGACTCTGGAGCGGAAAGGATTTATCTCCAGAGAACTGCTTTTCGATCCTTTTGGGCCAAACTCCAACATCAGGCTGACTGTCCCCAAGATCTTACAGGAGCACCGTGGAATTTTCATGTTTCTCTGTGGGGTGAGTGTTTTATGGACGCCACCGTCGTACTAATTATTATATATCCCGTTATTAAGTTGTTTAATATTTTTACCGGTTAGGTTTTACTTATAAGATGCTGATGCATAGATTGAGAACATACACCTAAAGCTTGGTTTATGCTTGACGCATTCACTTTCCGCGCGGTGATGCGGCTCGCGGATGGAACGAGCTTCACAACTCGCAGCGTTTATGGTTTGTGCGGCTCGTCTCTGCGGTAAGCCAACATTCTCCCAAACTGTAGGGGGCAGCATGGAGCTCTACAGCATGCATCCAACACTACACCATAGTAGAAGTAGAAATGACTGTTTACAACATGTCATTTCAGCATTTTTAACAGCGTCCTCGTTTTTTCTGACAGTGCGAGCTATTTCGCTCCAAGAATTATTAACAACATGTTGATCCCGGCGATCTCTGAGAGCTGAATCATACAAATGTCTGTATTTACCAACCTCTGCCATACTAGTTCTTGCCGGTCCGCCATGTTTTTCCGCGTCCGACCGTCCGCGTGGTTAGAAAATTTTCCAAGGTGCGCGTTGCGGAAATTTTGAGCCGTGCGGAGGCGCGTGGTTGTTAAAATGACCCAAAATGACGCAACTTTTCCGCACAGAGCCGTGCGGACCTCACGGACGCGTCAATCATAAACCAACCTTACGCCCCCTTCAGACAGGCCATGAAAAACAGAAATGTTCCGGACTCTGTCCGTAAGACCTTTGTGTCTGAATACAAACATCTGGATAACGTTTTCCGTAATTTAACCGGACGACGCCCCTAGTAACAGGTCCGGACTTGTTACGGACAAGGTGGCTGCTTCAGACTGGTGAGGTCGAGTTCCGGACAGGGAGGAGGGGACCGGGGGACCCTGTGCGCACCTAGATAGCTCGCTCCTGTAGCATGCGACGAACCATGGCAGCTCGCCTCCTATGGTACCGCCTAGGTGCGCGACGGAGCGCTTCACACCGCTTCAGTGATTCCTTTAACCATTGAGCTTCATCATCCTGGTCTCTTATGTGTCTTTGTGTGCGCAGAATTATGCTTAACATAAGTCCGACCCCCCCCCTCAGACATCTGGAACTTTTCCCTGCTGTGTGAAGGCAGCCGAAAGGACAAGTTCCGGTACAAAAGTGGTGTGTCTGAAAACAGTTCCGGTTAAAAACCGGATTCAATTGTCCACACACATTCCAGAATGTCTATCTGAAAAGGGCTCTAGTTGGTTTGCTGTCCTGCTTCAAAGGGCTAATTCAACTCAACTTTATTTATATGGTGCATTTGCACAGCTTGCGTTGATCAACGCGCTGCACAAAGTAACATAATAAAACATCGAAATAGCACCAAAATGGTACAGTCCACAAAACAATGAGCAAAAACTACTTTAACTAGAGATGAAGTAAATATAAAGGAGTTTTTAAAAAGATCTTAAACTTAGCCACTGAGGTAGCCTGTCTTACATTGTCTTTCTTTCTTTTTTCCCGTGACCAGAATTTAGTTTCACACACAGATCAGATTTGCATTTTCAGTTCCGAGGTGACTCTTTTTTTTTTCAGACCTTTCCCCCAGCGGTCAGACTGGGATCGAGGTGACCGACATGCGTGCAGGCCCTCTGTATCGGGGCTCTTGCGCCGGTTAGCAGACAGCTGCTCAGGGGAGAAAGCAGTGTGTGTGTGTAACAAGATTATGAGGACACACACAGCAAATTAATAAAATAATGTGTTATAGAGTCTCCAAAAGCAGCACAGCTCATGCCCACCTTAGTTTACCGTAATATGGAGGACACCACAGACTTTCCTGAGCATTTTAAACGCCGCCCACAGGCTCTGGGATTTCTCCATTCCTGAGAAGTCCCTCTGATTTATATGTGAGCACTACAGCGCCTGTGCGAGACTGAACTCACGCCGTCCAGCCCCACCAAACCCTCGACCATGTTGTTGCTAATGTGAAAGCGCCATAATATGAAGGGGAAGATGGTTCCACAATTTAGGAGCCACCACAGTAAAAGCTTGATCTTCTCTAGACACCAGCGTCATCCTAGGATCACCAGGTTTTCACCCTCAGACCGTAGTGAGCTGTTGTGAGACCTTGAAATCTGATGGACCCTGGCCATGTATTGTGTTAAAAACCAGTAAACGGGTCTTAAAATCAATTCCAAGACTAACTGGGAGCCTAATCAGTGCAGAAAGGATGAGTGTGATGCGATCACACCTCATAGAAGATGTTAAACATCTGGTGACAGCATTCTTAACCAGCTGCAAACATGAAAGAGATGATGGACTAATACCAGCCTACAGTGAATTACAATAATCAGGTCCTGCAGAGAAATTATCACATGCTTTACATTAGTAGTGATGTAGAGAGAGTCTGACTGGTTCTCTGCATCAGCTGGGGATGAGTGTCGTAGTTAAAATAAGATGAGGGCTTCTTCACTACAGATGTGGGGCTTTTTCAACGGACTGGAGTGCAGCTCTGAGATGTCAGGATGCTTGTTAGAACGGTTTCCTGTGTGGCGATTATGATAAAACGATAATACCACATCAGTGCATGAACAACGGCAAGTTTCTACTTCTATTTTTAACTGATGCTTTATTGTTTAGGAAGTAGAAAACAGTTTTGCTGCATTCTCAATAAAACCTTCAGAGACGGATGATAAAATCTGTTTATTATTTGAGGTCAACAGTAAATATTTCATTGCTGCATCAGATTTCCTTAAGTTGTTTCGACCTCCAGCAACCAGGAGACGATGAAAGTGAGATGTGTCTGATGGACGTCAGAGGGATGCCCAGATTACACCAGGGTTCTTCTTTAATAATTAACAACTGTGTGTAGGGCTGCAACAACGAATCGATAAATTCGATGAAAATCGATTACTAAAAGCGTTGGCAACGAATTGCGTCATCGATTCGTTGTGTCGCACAACTCTTCCAAAAGCGCCCCCCCCCCCCCCCCCCCCCCTTCCTGCCCGCCGTTGCGCGCAGACCAGAGCAAGTCAGATCAGCGCGAGGGAGAGCCGGCAGATCAGCGCGAGGGAGAGCCGCAGATCAGCGTGAGGGAGAGCCGGTACCGGCAGATCAGCGCGAGGGAGAGCCGGCAGATCAGCGCGAGGGAGAGCCGCAGATCAGCGTGAGGGAGAGCCGGTACCGGCAGATCAGCGCGATGGAGAGCCGGCAGACTTGCGCTGCTGCGAACCGGTTCCGCATTGTCGCGCAGCGATCCAGGCAGCTGCTTCCAGCGCACGGTCCATTCTCAAAGTGGCGCAACCAAAAAACTATAATTAGCACACGATCGTTCATGTCCGCACATATTCTCTATTTTCTGTCTTATTTGTGCCTGAAGCTCGCTACTGTGGAGCTCATCACCTGTGCTGTGGTGATGTCACCTCACGCAGCATCGAAAACGCGCTCTGCGCTTTTCGGTCAGGAGATCCCTTTGATCTGCTCAAAAGTAACTGATGAGGTGAAAAGGTAAGAATCCAGGCAACAGATTTTCTGGAGAATTAAGAGGAGATGCAGGAAGATGAGAGACAGACAGGACAGGAAAATAGTTAAATAAAAACAAGAAAACAAAACAAAGTGTTGAAAAGTCAAATGTAGGTAGATTTATCTCCACGACACGTTTTTACCAGTAAAAAACAATAAGTTATACACATGTCATATTTATACATCTGATACAATTCAGATCACCTTCAAAACTCAGTCACACACCCAGGGCCGTTTCAAGACATTTTGGGGGCCAAGGCAAAATGCCCCCCCACCCCCACCCCACCCCCCCCCAATAACTGGGCTCCCCAGAAGCCTCTGTGTAATTCATGCCCTCACCAGTAGTGTTAGTTATATGGTGTTTATAAAAGCCCCTCAGACATTACTGACATGTTCTAATATTATCAGATGAAAAACTAAATTATCAGACATGCTGTCTCATCTGCTGCTTTTCTAAACCTGCTAAAAGTAACAAAACCATTTGAAAGCCACTATTTGTGGATTCTCTGAAAGTTTCCATGGAGTGTGTGACAACTTATTTTTTCATTGATCCTATCGTCTAATCTCACAGCTGAAACAAGCATCCTTAATCATCTGTGCACAGGAAGCTTACCGATGCTGTAGTAAAACAAAAGGTAAAATAATTTATTATTAATAAAACCTTGTTGCAGCACTAAAGCAGAAAAATTAGATTTTGCATTAAATATGCAAAATATTTACATATGAATTGTTTTAGAGCCCTTTAATTGGCAGAATCTGATATTAATTTAGTTCTTACAAAAAATGGGTCCCAACATGGTTTGTGTGGCGTTGCCATAGTGTGACGTCATAGGCACAGATCCCCTGTCCTCTTGTTTGGAAATGGAAATATGGTCACCCTACATTAAACAAACTGTCCACCCGGGCTTTTGCGCTGCACAGAGACGCTTCGCTGCCTACGACTGAATGTCAGTTGAGAGTCAGTCTCATGCAGACTGACCAATGAAGAGAGGGCCTCAAGTTAAGACCCTCTCCTCATTGGTCAGTCCACACGAGGTGGGTCAAAGGTTACTCTGGGCGGGTTACGTGTTGTCAGGCATTCAAGTATTGAGTATATTTACTGCATATCACAGTAAAATATTCTGTATGTGACCACATTATGGTGATCCTTGGGTCGTGATGATGGAGCCCTTGAATATTGTTGCCCAGGGTACAACAAAGTGTTAATCTGGCCCTGGTTCCACCGTCACATTCCCGCAGAAACTGGTTGATCACACCGGGGCCAGACTACTAGCATGTGGTTTTACAACCACAATGTCCTCAGAAGCAAAAACGCTTTTAAAAGGGAGGGAGGAGTCCTAACTGTTGCTGCAGGCGTGTTGTGTGAGAGTGCAGTTATATACTGGTTAATATATTTTTGGGTTCAGTTGCTTTCATGTGGCCTAATGTGAGTCTATTTGGGATCATTTGAATGATCAGCAGCATTTCTTGATGTGACTTTATGGCAGTTGCCCAGGGCATCATCGCAAGGAGGATGGCATTCATTTACTTTTGTTTTATTTGGTATTTTTTCAGTCAGTTTTGGAAATAGTGATCAATTTTGATTAATTCACAGCCTATGTTTAATTACATTTAAAATAAATGTTAACAGATGAGATCAAACAAAACAGATGAGAATTGCCCTTAAGCTGTTTAACTTGGACCAAGCATTTTAGGTCACAGATAGATGTAGCTTAGGGTCTCTGTCTATACACCTTATAAGACAATTTAGGTGATGACATGTTGTTTTTCTGCTATTGAAGTGTTTTCTAATAATGTTGTGTTAAATAAAGTGAAGGAAGGAGAGAAATAACGTTTCCCTAGCAGTTTTTAAAAATTTCCCCATGTAATCCGATTAATCGATTAATCGTGTCGAGACCCCATCCGATTAATCGATTATCCAAATAATCGTTTGTTGCAGCCCTAACTGTGTGTAATCAGTTAGCCGTCATTACCACACCAGCCTGCATATTTACCTATAAATGACCTACATAAGAAGTTGCACCTCTCTAATGGTCGGTTTCAAATGAAACGTGTTTAGGTCTTTAGTCGAAGGGCAGATGTTACCTACAGACTAGCTTTATTCATGGTGATGCCTGTTAGCCGAGGGCGGCCAGGCAGAAACAGTAACCGACCGATTTTCCCACACAGGTTTTTGTAAATTGTTGCTTAAATAAAATGTTAATTTATTTAAAACTGCTGTAATAATTTTGCATCTTTATAACAAGTAGCTGTTCTGCTGATCTTATTTAGAAAATGTAGGATGCGTGTCTTAATTCCAGTATTACTAAATAATAATAGATGTTACTACTGCAGAGACTAGTTTGTGGCAGTATTAATAACTTGGATCGGAGTCATTCCCTGAACTCGTCTGTTCTGCAGGTGTGCTTCGACCACAAACCCAGAATCATCAGTAAAACCAACAAAGATGACCCTTCGCTTTGCTCTCATCCAGTGACGAAGCATAACTTTGAGGATCACAAGTGAGTCGGCCAAAATCTTATGTGTATATAAATATAAATGTAATTTGTGTGTGAGCTGAGCCAGATTGTGACCTCGGTTTGTGTGTGTGTGTGTGTGTGTGTTTGAGGTGCCTAGTCCACATTTTGAAGGAGAATACAGTTCGCTATTCCAAAATCAGACCCTTGAGTCCTCACAGCCAGCTGGATCTTTGTCGCCACGAAGTCCGCTATGGCTGCGTGAGAGAAGACGACTGTTTCTACGCCCACAGCCTCATCGAGCTGAAAGTCTGGATGATGCAGCACGAGCTCGGTGAGGCGGCTGAAATAGCCGTGCATATGAACGCCGATTTTTCTTAAATGCTTTATTCTGACAAAAATAACTAGCTCCTTTCTGCAGGTATCACTCATGAAAGTATTGTTCAGGAAGCAAAGAAGTATTGGAATGCAACAGCATCACTGCAGGGAGTCCAGGTAAAGACCATGCCTGCGTTACATTTTGAGTGTTGCTCGTATTTCCAAAAGTATTCCTGTTGTGGTTAAAGCTGGCTTTTGTGTCTGGGACTGGTAATGAGCTTTCTGCCTCTCGGATGGTTACTCTTATTCGCTGCGCCAAGTTCCAATTTTAATTTCAAACTATGTCAACAGTTTCCTATCGCCCAGAGAAGGTTTGGTCCTCCAAATCTGAAGATGATGTTTGTTTGTGGCCAGTGCTGGAGAAATGGCCAACTAAGTGAAGCTGACAAAAATAAGAAGTATTGCACAGCCAAGGCTAGACATACGTAAGTAGTTAGATGGCTTTTAGAGTGTAAAATGGCTCAAAGTAAGTGAAGTCTCACCAGTCTGGTTTACCTCGCATAGGTGGGCAAAAGACAGGCGAGTGGTGCTTGTAAGTTCCCATGAAAGGAAAAAGTGGACAACCGTAAGACCACTTCCTACCAAAAAACCCATCCCATCTCAGTTCGAGGTACGTGTCCAACATTTTCACATCCATCGGCAGCCAAATAACATGGAACATCTGTTCCGTGTTCCTGCCTACAACTCGCAGCAAGGAATAGGAACCAAATGTTTCTCGGTCTGTTTCAGATTTGCATGCATGTGACAGCCAGCAAGAAGTGTCAATACATTGGGAATTGCACATTTGCTCACAGTGTGGAAGAAAGAGACCTTTGGACCTACATGAAGGAGCACAACAGTGAGTGTTGTCGAGACTTTTGCTTCTTGATTGGGTTTCGTCAGTGGGAAGTTTGTAGTCATCTGGCAGCATGCTCATTTAAAGCTTTTCTTCAGTTCCAGATATGGATCAGCTTTACGAGCAGTGGCTGCTGTCTCAGAAGCCCGGCTGGGGTGAGGAGATGTCCAGTAACTCGGTCAGGGAGAATGGCAAACAGATCCACATGCCAACCGACTACGCTGAGGAAGTGGTGAGTGAGGAAGCTTCTCCTGCTTATTTAAACACACATCCTGTTTAAACTGCATTAGATGAACTTTTCTGTCTGAGAGGTGACCTTAAATGATTGTTTTAGGAATTTCCGCCTTTACCTTGTTCTATTTAGGGCAACATCTCTCTTCATGCATCACAGCAATAATGAATTCCTGTGACTCGTGAACTTATTTCATAGATGTTGAAGGAGCTTTGAGTAGGGCTGTAGCGAAGCCTCGACGAAGTCGACGGCTCGATTCTAAAAATTTGTCGACGTCAGATCCGGAAGTCGACGCACCGCGCCCACTTGTTGCATCCCCAGGAGTTTGTAAATAGAGGAGGAATCTGCCTGTTCTTCCTCTGGTTCGCCCTCTTCTCCGCCTTCACTAACATCTCCGCCAAATACCGAAGACCCGGAACAACGTCCGTCCACTACTAGATTATTTTCCTGTTTTGCCCCTTCGTCTCCCGGCAACGGACAACAACTTCCGGGGTCAGATGTGCGCTGCTCCGTCTCTGTCGCAGATGTAGAAAATCACCGGGAGCGCTTCTCCCTTCATTAAGGAGCTTCTTTCAGACATGAGGAGAGCTGTTTTGGTGGTAGCAGTCTCTCCTCCGTGCTGGTCTGTTTGCTGCTGGGTGTTTTTGGTTTATTTAAACTTGGTAACTTGAACTTAACGTTGGTAAAGCTACTGTTAGCATCTTCGCTAACAGCTTCTTGCGTTGGGATAAGCTGTTACGTTTTGGTTTAGAGTTCATCTTTTTTGTGGTGTAGATCTCCCTTTTATTACATTTAGAGTGTTGTGGGTTTTCGGTTTAGTTAAAAATGTAAGACCACTCGCCTCACGCACATAAGTGACCAAAACAAAGCAACATGGAGACACTCCATCTTCTACCACCTCTCAGGCAGCAGCCTGCACTCCCAGGTTCTACACGTCACCAGAAAACCAACACAATAAAAGCAGTGTTATACAAAATGGAAGGCCTGTAGTGTTTATTCTCTTACAGTAAGAATTTATCAATTTTTTTGAGGAATTTATTTGAGATTTTCTGGTTTTTGTTAATTGTGCAATAGAAAAATAATCATTAGATTAATTTTCTAAATAGTCATTAGAATAGTCGACTATTCGATAAAATAATCGTCAGAATAATCGTTTTAAAAATAATCGTTTACCCCCAGCCCTAGCTTTGAGTTTATTTTCTAAGTAATCATTAAAGTCGGACTTTTGTTTTTGCAGGCTGGCAACCATTGTTGGCTGTGTGGTAAAAACTGCAACAGTGAGAAGCAGTGGCAGCAGCACATCACCTCAGAGAAACACAAAGAGAGAGTTTTCAACTCCGAGGACGATCAGAACTGCTGGCAGTACCGATTCCCTACTGGCACTTTCAAAGTTTGTGAGAGGTGAGTTTAACGTTGGCTGCAGAACTGTCACTGCGCTGGTTGCCAGTTTGATTCTGGAACTTTTATCATTAATACTGGACCTCTTTTGCTTCAGATTCCTCAAAGGCACGTGCACAGAGGATGACTTGTGTAAGCTGGCACACGGGGAGCATGAGCTCAAAGAGTGGAAGGAGCGTAGGGAATTCCTTTTGATGAAACTTGCCAAAGCCAGAAAAGATCATCTTATAGCACCAAATGACAATGACTTTGGAAAATACAGTTTTCTGCTTAAAGACATTAAATAACATGTTGAAATTATCCATGCTCCCTTGCAAAATGATGCAGTATTTAAACCATTTTGTGTCGGGTCCTTCGTGAGGGCCTGTGCTGAGCCCGGGAAGTAGCCAGATCCCAGCATGATTTAACACAGGACATCCAGGATGGGCCCTCTGATTGGTGGCTGGTTTTCTCTGATCCGAACTACAGAGCGTTATCAATAATAGCAAATATTCAGTGTACCTGAAGCTTTGCTTTGTTCAGTACAACAGCTGAAACTTATGACAAATAGCATGTGTAACCTTGGTCAGAGACATGTTCCAGTTCATAGTTAGCCTAACAATTTATTATTTTTTCCACAGTTTATATGTTAATGACTCTTCCAGTTTTAAGTATGACTTACTTAAACTGAGCTTGGTTGACATTCTTGTTTGAAATCAGTCAACATACGGTAGGTCATTTTCACTTTCCATTTATCTAATAGTGTTACTAGTGTATTGGGCACCCTACCAAATAAAGCTTTGTTTTTTTTTAATCCATTGAAGCTGCCGTGTTTTGTTGAAGTCCAGTTTGAAGCAGAGCAACAGTAGAAGCGTGTTTTCAAAACTTTAATAAAAGTATGTGGAGGTATCGCAAAGAAGAGTGAATCAAACATGAGTCTTTGCCTCTTTTGTGAGCCATCTGAGACCCTGGCTGAACATGAGGAACATTAGGTGTCCTGTCTTCAGAGGTAGCTTTATTTACTGCTGGCAGCAGCTGTGCATTCATGCCAGCATCTGCTGCAGCTCCTCCACCTCCAGCTTCCACATCCTCCTATGAAGGGCAGCAAAGTCGGAGAGATCTGCCATCTTCACAGCACGGATGACTGGTTCCGGGGAGACTGCCTGGACTACACCCATCACCATGACGTATTTGCCTGCAACAGCAACATTAGCAGCTGGTGGCTCAGTTCATATCTGACAACAGCATCAAAGAGACGGAGCTCTCGACATTTACTAATGTGATTTACAGATGGTCAAGCTGCAAATGTCACTGCAGACTGGACATCATAGAATAAGACCCACAATGGTACACTGACCTTGACACAAACACTGTTTTCCTCTGGGGGTGCTGTTGACGCCCTGGACTGTAAACGTTCCGGTCTCATCCATCAGCAGCACGGTGTCTCGGTCCAGCTGCACATCCAGGACGGTCCCCTGCATCCACACCAGTGACACCCGCAGAGAGCGAGCCCTGTCCGCTCTGATGACAAATCCCTCCTCGCTGTCAGCGGCGCCCCGGAGCCCCGCCGCCCTTAGCTGCCCGGACAGCACCTTAACCGGCGGGGGACGCTTCCGGTCAACGACTGTCTTCTCTAGTTTGAACATCATTAAAGGAGTTTCACTTCACGTGACGTTCCACAGCCGAGAAAGCGTCCATTTGTTTCACCCGCCAAACCGGAAGCTGTCACCTGGAGCAACAACTTCCGGTCTAGGATCCTTCAAAGTAAAAGCATCAGATTTGAAGTTTTATCTTTGTACATTTGGTCTTAATACATTTTTTCCCTTTCTTTGAAGAAAAGCAGAGAATCCAGATTAGCAAATTCATTCACCAACAGATTGCTAAAAAAATATATATATATATATATATAAAACTTTAGAAAAAAAATATAGATTATATGTATATATATTTTTTCTAAAGTTTTTTTTGTTTCCAATCGGTTTTGACAGCATTTGAAGTTATTTTTGTAATTTTAAAGTAAGACAATTTGGGTCAAAACTCAAGAATAATACAGAGAAACATTTTCCTTCATTTGTGTAAAAGAAAAACTGCAATAAAATGTTTAATGTCTTTTGAGCTGATCTGAATTTATGTTCCGTCTTTCAAGAGATTGAAGATTTACTTGTGAGGTAATACCACATTATATTATATGAGTTATATGTCTATGGGTATAATACTACACCAAGCTTGCTATGAATAGGGGAAAACATAGCTATTACAAAAACAGAAAATGGATCATAACATAAATTGACAAATAAAGTAACTTATATTGGTCAAAACAAGTTTTTTGTTTTTAAATATTAGGATTTGTCTGGAGGAGCCAGTTGAGGTGGCTCGGACATCTGGTTATGATGCCTCCCTGGTGAGATTTTCTGGGAACATCCAACTGGGAGGAGACCTAAAGGAAGACCCAGGACACGCTGGAGGAATCCCCTGGAGGAGCTGGCCCAAGTGGCTTGGGAGAGGGAAGTCTGGTCCTCCCTGCTTAGGCTGCTGCTCCCACGACCCAACCCCAGATAAGTAGATGACAATGGGTTGTTTGTTAATCTGTCATGCTGCACTGGAGATTTAAACTAACACGTGATGCAATTCAGAAAAACTATAATTTATTATAAAAACGACAAGAGTGAAAAGTCAGTTTGGCAAAACCCAACATAACTAATATGGTTTGTAAAAACTTTCGCTCTCTAGTGTTTTGTTGTTCTTTTGTTTAAATCAAAGAGCAGCAGGATCTCAGAAAGTTGTCTATTAAAGCTCCATTTTCTCAGGCGGAACTGCAACACATTCTCTGGTGTTGTAAAATAAAGCTGGTATTTGGGTGATTGATTTTCCAGCTAAACAAATATTGTGAACAAAACCAAAGAGGAAAACCTTGAATGTGATGGTTTACTTCAGAACTCACATTTTGTTCCTTCAAAATATTTAATTTCATTTAATCTAAAATGAAAACTCTTATAAGTAAACTTCTTTCATTAAATAACTTTATTTCTTTAAGAATAACTGAAGAAAAGTGTTAGCAATTTCTGTACATTTTTTATTGTTTTCCCTTGGGTTTGCTGAAAACCTTGAACAACAGGGCTGAGAATGTTACACTGCCACATAGTGCACTTTTCACCTAAAAAGAATTTGATTAGTCCACAGGCATCTGTCAGTTTCCTTCAAAGATATTCCAACAAGTTCCTTCAGCCTCCATGTCGTCTCCAGTTGTTTTTTTCCACTGGCTCCTCCTCTCAATCCCAGTTCGTCATGTCAAAAAAGAGGCACATTAGAAATACTGCCATTTTCCAAGGACTACGTCTTTGATTGCATCGACAAACTGTGCAGGCACCCAGTAGACCCAATACTGAGAAGCTTCTGTTGGACCCAACTGAAACGCCTACAAGAGTGGAAAGAAAAACGGTGTTTACATTGATTGGTTTTCTAGATTCAGGTTCAGCTTGTTTAAATGAAATGGTTTGATTTTCATTATAGATAACAGTTTTAACTGAACATCACAAACACACACCAGAACCCAAAAATCGACACATGAATGGTTCTGGGGTGTGCGCTTGGTTGGTACTACTAAATAGTTCTGAAGCTGAACCAAAATCCTCAAATTAAATAAAAAGCTACAGAAAAAACATGTGCACGTGATTTTTAGGCCTCCTAAGAATAAAGTGAGCATTTATTTGTTTATTGAAAAAAAATCTACTGTGACCTCTAGCATGAATGAGTTGTTTTCCGAGGGAAAAAAATTCTGGCCTTCCTGCTTCAGGAAGTAGATGTTAGCCGGAGGAATGGAGGGCAGAAAATGTCAGCGTTTGGAGTCATACTCATTATTATTCATGATATGCAAACATCAAGCCTCTGATTGGCTAACAGCAACACAACTCTTCCACTGCTTCCATTTGTCCTTTTTTCTTAGGTTAAAAAACAAAAAACAAAGCAACATTTATGTTTTATCTCCACAAATATCTAGCCTGAAGGAGTACTGCCATAATGTGGAGTTGCTAATGCGAACGGTTAGCTTCTACTAGCTGTGGCAGGCTCTGCCGTTCCCCTGGACACTAAATCATCAACAACCTTCCCCGGTCTCAAGTTAAGGTGGTTGAGTCCATGAAAGCTAATTTTACAGCGGGACGGATGGCTGTGAGGCGTCTTCTGACCTGAGTGTTTCCCCGTCTGTTTTCCTTTTGCAGCTAATGCAGGAAAGAGAGGTAGAAGACCCTTTTCATGTTCTGCACACATGCAAAATCGATCGTATGCGCAAAAGAACAAGTATTATGTTTCTCAGTGAACTTCCTCCAGAAGTAAATTGTCAGTTGCAGTGAAATGTGGTGCTTGTGTTGGGTTTGGGGTTCTTCCACCTGGGCCAATATCACCTTTAGGCACTTTGGAAGTGAGTCCTCTAGATTTCCCAGCACCATGCACAGGTGACTATTTACACAGAAATGAGCACTTCCTATATGCTCAAACTGATTCTTCCACCTTCAAGTTATAGTGCTATAACCTACTTCCATCACCGTTTTAAGCTTGAACAAAACCTCTAAAATACCTAATTAAAATGTAAGACTTTTCATGGATTTCAAGCACCCACAAGAACTCAACATAAAATTGAAATATAACATGAATATTTTGTGGAAGATGCATATTTCATCTCTTAAGACCCTTACAAAGATACTGATGATGACTCATCTGCAGAAAATCACAGCTGAGTGCTAATCAGGTGTTTAAACACAGAGAGGTCCATAATAATCTCATTGTTGACACCAAAAGCAGAATTCCCACATCATTAACACTAGTTTCATTTTAAATACCATCCATCCATCCATCCATCCACCCACCCACCCACCCACTTGTCCACCCACCCACTTATCCGGAGTCGGGTCGCGGGGGCAGTAGCCTAAGGCGAGAGACCCAGACTTCCCTCTCCCCAGCCACTTGGGCCAGCTCCTCCGGGGGAATCCCAAGGCGTTCCCTGGCCAGGTGAGAGACATAGTCCCTCCAACGTGTCCTGGGTCTACCTTTAGGTCTCCTCCCGGTTGGACGTGCCCAGAAAACCTCATCAGGGAGGCGTCCAGGAGGCATCCTGACCAGATGCCCGAGCCACCTCAACTGGCTCATCTCGGTGTGGAGGAGCAGCGGGTCTACTCCGAGCCCCTCCCGAATGACCGAGCTTCTCACCCTATCTCTAAGTGAGAGCCCAGCCACTCTTCGGAGAAAACTCATTTTGGCCGCTTGTATCCGCAATCTCGTTCTTTCGCTCACTGCCCAAAGCTCACGACCATAGGTGAGGGTAGGAACGTAGATCGACCGGTAAATCGAAAGCTTCGCCTTCTGACTCAGCTCTCTCTTCACCACGACAGACCGGTACAACGCCCGCATCACTGCAGACGCAGCACCAATCCGCCTATCGATCTCACACTCCAGTTTTCCCTCACTCGTGAACAAGACCCCGAGATACTTAAACTCCTCCACTTGGGGCAGGACCTCATCCCTGACCCGAAGAAGGCATTCTACCCTTTTCCGAATCAAGACCATGGTCTCAGATTTAGAGGAGCTGATTCTCATTCCAGCTGCTTCACACTCGGCTGCGAACCGCTCCAGCGAAAGCTGAAGATCACGTTCTGATGAAGCCAACAGGACCACATCATCTGCAAAAAGCACAGACCTGATCCTCAGGCCACCAAAACGGATGCCCTCCACACCTTGGCTGTGCCTAGAAATCCTGTCCATAAAGGTTATGAACAGAATCGTGACAAAGGGCAGCCTTGGCAGAGTCCAACTCACTGGGAATGAGCCCGACTTACTGCCGGCAATGTGGACCAAGCTCTGACACCGGTCATGCAGGGACCTAACAGCCCGTATCAGAGGGCCTGGTACCCCATACTCCCGGAGTACCCCCCACAGGGCCCTCCAAGGGGGTCAAACGCCTTCTCCAAATCCACAAAACACATGTAGACTGGTTGGGCAAATTCCTACACACCCTCCAGGATCCCCCTAAGGGTATTGAGCTGGTCTAGTGTTCCACGGCCAGGATGAAAACCACATTGCTCCTCCTGAATCTGAGGTTCAACAATCCGACGGACCCTCCTCTCCAGAACCCCTGAATAGACCTTACCAGGAAGGCTCAGGAGTGTGATCCCCTGTAGATGGAACACACCCTGCGGTCCCCCTTTTTTAAAAAGGGGACCACCACCCCGGTTTGCCAGTCCAGTGGGACTGGCCCCGATGTCCGCACGATACTGCAGAGCCACGTCAGCCAACACAGCCCCACAACATCCAGAGCCTTAAGGAACTCCGGGCAGATCTAATCCGCCCCTGGAGCCTTGCCACCGAGGAGCTTTTTAACCACCTCAGTGACCTTAGCACCAGAGATTTGAGAGGCCAACCCAAAGTCCCCAGACTCTGCTTCCTCACTGGAAGACATGTCGGTGGGATTGAGGAGGTCTTTGAAGTATTCTGCCCACCGATCCACAACGTCCCGTGTAGAGGTCAGCAGCACACCGTCCCCACTATAGATAGCATTGGTAGCACAAAGTTCTGTCGGAGGTGGGAATTGAAGCTCCTTCTGACAGGAGACTCTGCCAGACGTTCCCAGCAGACCCTCGCAATACGTTTGGGCCTGCCTGGTCTGACTGGCATCCTCCTCCACCATCTGAGCCAACTCACCACCAGGTAGTGGTCAGTTGACAGCTCCGCCCCTCTCTTCACCCGAGTGTCCAAGACATGCGGCCGCAGGTCAGATGAAACAACAACAAAGTCGATCATCGAGCTGCGGCCTAAGGTATCCTGGTGCCAAGAGCACATATGGACACCTTTATGTCTGAACATGGTGTTCATTATGGACAATCCATGACTGGCACATAAGTCCAATAACAAAACACCACTCGAATTCAGATCAGGGGGGTCGTTTCTCCCAACCACACCTCTCCAGGTCTCACTTTCATTGCCCACGTGAGCCTTAAAGTCCCCCAGCAGAACGAGCGAGTCACTGGAAGGAGCGCTTTTCAGCACCCCCTCCAAGGTCTCCAAAAAGGGTGGGTAATCTGAACTGTAGTTTGGTGCATAAACACAGACCACAGTCAGAACCCGTCCCCCCACACGTAGGCGGAGGGAGGCTACCCTTTCATTCACTGGGGTAAACCCCAACGTACAGGCACCAAGATGGGGGCAACTAGTATGCCCACCCCTGCTCGGCGCCTCTCAGTGGGAGCAACTCCAGAGTGGTAGAAAGTCCAACCTCTCTCAAGGAAACTGGTTCCAGAGCCAGAGCCATGCGTTGAGGTGAGTCTGACTATATCTAGTCGGAACCTCTCAACCTCACACACCAACTCAGGCTCTTTCCCCACCAGAGAGGTGACATTCCATGTGCCAAAAGCCAGCTTCTGTAGCCGAGGATCAGACCGCCAAGGTCCACGCCCTCGACTATCACCCGTCACACACTGCACCCGACCCCTTTGGCCCCTCCCACTAGTGGTGAGCCCATGGGAAGGGGGACCCACGTTTCCTCTTCGGGCTGTGCCCGGCCGGGCTCCATGGGTGAAAGCACGGCCATTTGAAATACCCCGACCTGTAAACACTCTGATGCAGCCAGACAGCGAGCAGACTGCTAGCATCACATTTATTTTATTGAGTCTAAATTTAAACCCAGAACAAAGCAGTTGTGACTCAAAAACACAACAATATAATTCAATCTTTCTGCACTGCAGGTGTGACAACATGTGGACTTAGATCTGTTATACAAGTGTGACACAACTTTACTGATCTAGTGAGCAGACTGATCTGTGCTTTGAAACCAGAATAATGCATTTTATCAACCCTAGCTTCAGAGGTATCAAGTGTTCAATCAGACAGCCTAAACAACATTAAGGTCTCCAGTCAGACACGCACCCTTATGGTCACCATCCAACTGAACACAGTATCTAATTGTCTCACAGTTTATAAATAGTTTTACTAGAAAGAATCAGACTTTCTAGTTATCATTTAAGGATGTCGTAACGTTTATCTTTGGCTGTTTTAGTGGTGTAAAACGTTTAAGAGAGACCCTTCTAAAGCCTCGTTCATACCAAGTATGAAACGGATGCGGTACGGTTTCCGTGCGGCCTCAGCACAGATCACAAACCACTGAGTCCAATCAGAGCATTCACACCAGACACTGCGTGTGCCAGACAGGAAGTAAGAAGTAGAACGGGGACGTGCATTTGCTTAATATCAAACTAAAAACCATGTTGCATTACAACTTGCCTAATAATTCTGCACTCCCTGTATTTTTGCTGGCTTTTGTTTTATTATTGATGACACAGAGCTCACAGGGTAAGATGGTTCACGTTATTTTTACAGGTATACTGTAAACTTCATCTCGTCTCTTCAAGAAGGTGAGTGTCCAACTGGTAGCAGCTCGACAGAGGAAACGAAGCTCCAATCACGTTATCTAGGTAGCTCAATTAGAACCAATACAGCTTCAGCCAGACTAACTGGTTTAAAGCAATAGTTTAGTTCACTGATATGCATGAAAACACACTGAGTGTGAATCACAGTCCTCTGAAAACCGGACCGCATCCGTTCTGCACTAGGTGTGAATGAGGCTTGGCTGATTACACAGTCACAAAGAACTACAACTATGATGCAAAATGCAAAGAACAAAAGTGATACTAGCTTCACTTTTACACACAAACTCCAGAGGTTTCAGTTAAAATATATATTTTAGTCATTTATTTAAACCAAAGTCCCTTTTGTTAAATGCATAAAATATACCCGAACTGTACTTATGTGTTCAAATGTCCCAATAAATGTGATGTCACACTGTGTACTCTAAATTAAGTTTTGGCCTCTAACCATTTTAATAAGGATGAGCGAATACACCACTATCTGTATCTGTATCTGTTCAACCATCTAAATTATCTGTATCTATACTCAGAGTGGGCGTGGCCTTAACTCGGAAGTGGGTGTAGTTTAACTGGAAGTGGGTGTGGTTTGCATCAATACATTATTTTAAGTCTGATATTGATACAGATTGATCAGAAGTTGCTATGTGTGTTGTTAATTTGAAAATTATTTACAGAGCAGCCTCAGAGTTGAGATTAAATGTTTTTGATCACAATAGTAAAGGAACTATTACAGAACAAGTTTTTCAATAAAATCAGAACAGTAATATTTAAGTGCATGAAGAGAGAGAGAGAGCGAGAGAGAGAGAGAGAGAGAGAGAGAGAGCGAGAGAGAGAGAGAGAGAGAGCGAGAGAGAGAGCGAGAGAGAGAGAGAGAGCGAGCGAGAGAGAGAGAGAGAGAGAGCGAGAGAGAGAGAGAGAGCGAGAGAGAGAGAGAGAGCGAGAGAGAGAGAGAGAGAGAGAGCGAGAGCGAGAGCGAGAGCGAGAGAGAGAGAGAGCGAGAGCGAGAGAGAGAGCGAGAGAGAGAGAGAGAGCGAGAGCGAGAGCGAGAGAGAGAGAGAGAGCGAGAGAGAGAGCGAGAGAGAGAGAGAGAGCGAGAGAGAGAGAGAGAGAGCGAGAGAGAGAGAGAGAGAGAGAGAGAGAGAGAGAGAGAGCAAGAGAGAGAGAGAGAGAGCGAGAGAGAGCGAGAGAGAGAGAGAGAGAGACGAGCTGGAGAAAACCTAGGGAGTCCTGAAGAAACGTGAGCATCAGTGAAGCAAGCACAGAGAGATCCGTTACCGTCTGTGTGTGTGCGTGGATGGGCCGGACGTGGACAGAGCTCCCGGCTGCAGAGTTTTGTGTGTAGGAAGGGGCGGGCGCTCTATGTGACTGGCCAATCACAGAGCGTGAAGACAGTCGGTTACCCAATGAGGATTTTGCTTCAGCACGATTACAGATATTTACGAGTTTTACTCGTTTCATGCTCGTACTCGTCAAAAATGCTTTATCCGTACCGGATACTCGTCTGAAACGAGCATCCGGCTCATCCCTACATTTTAATTTCCTTGGAATAAAAACAGATAAATCTGACGAGCAGCAAGAAAAAGCAGACATTACCATCATGTGATAATCCTCATGGCCTTCGATGGCTTCAGACACTACGTTTTTGATGGAGCCCATGGGAACTTTCTCTGTTCTCTCTGTTGGCGACAAAACACTTCACTGATCTGAATGTTTGTGTTGCAGCAGGTTCAGTAAACATAAAGCTCCACCATCACCTCACCTTTTGTTCCAATCCACAACTGATCTTGCTCCAGTTTGAATGTGAGTCTTACTTTTCCTCCGGATTTGTTGAACATCCCGGATAAAGGCACTGTTGGCAATCGTTCCTGTTGGTGAGACGAGCAGCTGTTGTTCTGTTTGCTATCCACATGGACAACAACGTTTATTTGTTATCCAATGGCCGCGGCTCACCTTTGCTCCTTTAATCGCTGCCATAATGTCATCTGGTTTTCCCTTGTCCAATACTTTTCTGTGTTGCTGTAATCACATTACAGGTTTCAGGGGAACAGAAACACTTGGATATCTGACAGAACTCAAAGAAGAAATCTCACCTTTTGCCTGCATAAAGGCTCCTTTTTGTTTTCTTCAGCTTTAACTTCCTGTTGAATTGCCTCTTTTGGTGTGTTAACAGCTAATACATCATTTATTGTAGATCCTACCACCATTATTTTTGCACCGTTTGTAACCTTTATTTCCCGTAGCGTCTTGTCTTCTGGGAGCAAACCTTTGTACATCACTTTCTGCATTGCTGGTGGAAGACCTAGCAGACCAAAATTAAGCCACTGGGTTTATATTTTTTACATTAAAAACTGGGGCTGGGCGATATGGTCTAAAATCAATATCACGATGTATTGAGAATTTCACCAAGATAACGATAAATGGACAATAACTACAGGTACTGTATGTGCAGAAACAAAAGTTGTCCACTAGATGGGGCTGTCACGTGTAAAGGGAACGCTGATAACCTACACAACTTTTCATTTTTTAACTCATTCACTGCCAGCCGTTTCCTGATCGCTAAAGCCCTTCGCTGCCAGCTTTTCTCACCGTTTTTACTGTTTTTTTTAAGAGTCACAGAACGTTTCCTGCTAGCATGATGTCGACGCCAAAACAACCAAAACAAAGCGGAGAATCACCTCTTACATCAGGAAGAATCCGCGCGTTTCGAGCGTTATCCGTTCTTTCATAATCCGTTGTTGAATTGTGATCGGCAGAAGCTTTTCCGGTTCGCGCCTCACTTTTTTTTTTTACAGCAGCGGCCCAAAACGATCTCCTAACTAGGGATGCACCGATGGATCGGCATTTGATCGTAATCGGCCGATAGCGCCCCTATCGGTTTTGATCGGAATTTTCAAAATAGATCAAAGCAAACCGATCAGGTAGGGTTGTCACGGTAACCAGTGTAGCGCTAAACCCCGGTAAAAAAAAAGTTGACAATAATAACCGTCTTGTTTTTAAAAAACTATATTATCTTGGTGGGTTTACCGTGGCTGCGGTGTAGGCGCGGTGACCCTTACCAGCCACCGTATCACCTGCTGAAGTTGCCGGCGGCACATGCGCACTTTGTTTACAACAAAACTTTCTTGAAGCTAAAGCTGAAATAATGGTCAAAGGAGGAGACGGCAGCGCTCAGGAGGACATTTATTATCCCTCAAAGAAGACAAAGTCGGAAGTACGGGCATATTTTAGATATTTGAAGAATGCCGAGGAAGTTTATAGAAGACGGACGGCTATCCTGTTTGCAGCACGTGCAGAAAAAGTGTCTGTGAAAGGCAGAAATGCTTCAAATCTCATGACACATCTGCGTGACCATCACCCACAACTCTACAGTCAACGCAAGGCAAGCTAACGTTAGCGCTTTAGCTAAAATGTGTGATCCGAGGATTTGGGTTGAGGGAGAATGCAATGAGTCGCTATATAAAGCAGCCGCAGCGCCGCTACCTGCATATAAACCGTGTCGCAGACACCCCCATGTTGAAATGACGCTATGCATTACGGGGCTTCCAGGGGCAGATAAGAGTTGGTCTCTCTCCGAGAATAATTATGAATTTAACAACGATTACTGCCTGATGACATTTTCCCACATCTGCAAAGCTCACTGGAAGGACACAAACCGAGGACAATATTTTCCTGAAATACAGATTGCTCAAGTAAGGGTAAAAAAAAAAGTATCTGATTAGAAGGCTACTTGAGTACTGAGTATCATCTGATCTAATATTTTTAAATGATGACATCAAACAGACATAAAATACTTAGTTATGGGCAAATATTGGTATTTTAAAGACTAAAGGGGAAAAATGTAAACAAATAAACAACATAATTACAAAATAACACATTTTAGGCTAAATTTAGACACAAACTGAGGACAATATTTCCTGATATACAGTGTTTATTTAATTGTGTGAAAATGTAGCACGTTTAAAAAAAATACCGCGATAATACCGAAAACCGTGGTAATTTTGGTCACAATAACCGTGAGGTTAAATTTTCACACCGTGACAACCTAATACAGACCATTTTAAATTAGGTTACATTTCCTTTATTCCCAGATTATGTAGTTTGTAGCACTCATTATAATGTTGTAGAAAATTTCTGGCCAATCCACGTGATCGGTATCGGTGATCGGTATCGGTGATCAGCATTCTTTGATATCGGTATCGGTGATCGGCAGCAAAAAACCTGATCGGTGCATCCCTACTCCTAACACATGGATGTTCTGCTTCCTGATCACGTGACGTGTGACGTACGCAGATGAAGATCGGCTTTAGAGCTGAGATGTTTGTTCTCACAGTGCGGGGGCTCGTTCCGACGCCCACACAGTAAAAATATGCAAATGACAACTTTAGTCATCATTGGCAGTGAATGAGTTAATTATCAGATTTATTGACATGGGAAAAATGATCACAATAACAGTCAGAAATTTCGATAAAGATAAATTTTCGATTTATTGCCCAGCCCTTACTACAACCATTAGAATCATTACTTTGTTTAAACTTTCAGATCACTTACCAGTGAGTGAATGAATCCTCTCTTTTAGTTTGGCTCCGGTGCTATCAACAGGGATTTTCAGATCATATTTATTTTTGTTCCAGATAATCTTCAGATCCACCGTCTCCTGCTGCTCGTCCGTGTTGTCGCCGTTGCTAATACTAGAGTCCTGAGTTGTGGCATTTCCTGCATCTGAGTGAGACGTAGCTTCAGCATCAACTTTCTCAACGTCTTCACCAAGAGGTTCAGCTTCGTTTGGCTTTGCCTCAGTTTCCATTATGACGCCTTCACTTCCTGCAAAAGAATGATATATTTGATGTATTAAACAAACATGCTATGAAATTGCAGTAATGTAAGTATTTCTATATTATTCACCCAATTTCCAGTCTAGCTGCAAAAACAGCCTACATCAGAAAAAAACTGCTTAATGAGTGTTTCATACAGGCTGAAGCTGTAGCTCCATTAAAGGGAGACGAGGCAGTTTTGGCTTGCTTTTAGCACCCCGTAGTGTCGGTTTAATAGAACCGAAAGCAAAACCTATCTCTTCGCTGTGCGTTCATCTTTCTAACATTTTAATCTGAAAGCTGAAATGTCTCCCCAGCCTTCATTAGTGTCTACAAGAGTGGTTCATCACTAACTTAGACCGATCAGCTGTGTTCATGATCTAAAACATGCAGGAAACCTGCTCCATTTTTTCTAAGTTCAACAGACTGGACCAGCACTGTGAAGTTTCAAATGTGATATTCTGGCCACAGAGAGCGGTGGGGGTCTGAGTGACACGTCAATAACCCTGAAAAGGGTCGTTTTAGCACATACTGGCTCAAGAAAATGATTTAAAATTATAAAAAAAGTTGCAAAGTATCCTTTTAACTGGTGTCTGTGGATTTTAATGGTCAATTCTGACTTTTTTGCGGAGATCCAATTTTTTTGTGACGTTATCACATTATAATTTATATGCAATTTGCCATCAGTCTCCAGTATGAATAGCCTGTGGCTCTGAAGTGACCTGGATGCACAGAAGAAGTTGTGACATCACATGCAGACAGCTGTGTTTATGGAGGTACACACTGTCGATCAGATTTGTGATATCTGTCACAAATGATGAAAATGTGAGATCAAAAACAAAGACATTGATCTGGGTTGGATTTGAAAAATGACCATCCGCAGATGCAAAAAGTGACAAAACATTCACAATCCTACTAAACTGATCTATTTCCATAAGATGTCTGGTGTTAGTGGGCCACAGAGCAAGTGAGTGATGTTCTCTTAAAAAATAACAGAACGTTGTGTCTGTCTAGCAACTAAAGATGATTGTTATCAACCATAAATGTTTTTTTAAATATAACAGTTTGTCTCTAAAATTGAAAGTTTCCTTAATATATATATATATATATATATATATATATATATATATATATATATATATATATATATATATAATAAGTTCAAATGATATACATTTGTTTCCACTAATCCAGCACAGAAAATGAATTTATACAAATCAGAAGACAGCTAATAGTGTCTGTTTATGTTAGATTACCACCTAAGAGAGCCAGCTGTCTCTAAAATATTATATCTGTGTCCCTCTGTGGTTGCCACAATGCTTTTCAGTAAACTGTTCAAAAGTGAAAAGTAACGAGGTCTGGATTCATTTGTAATCTTTTATCCAGCTTTCTTTCTGAGATCTTCCAGTTCTTCCCACCGATGGTAATTTATTTATTTATTCAAACTACCGAGTGAGTTCAGTTCGGACGCATTTTGAATAAAATCAAACCACGGCTATAAAAAAAACCCACAAGACTTTTATTTGTTTTAACTACACCAACAACGATTTTAACGTAACAGAAACTGGTTACGTTAGCGTCAGTAACTACAAGCTACCCTCTTGTTATTATTTATGACGACATATCAATATCCCGGTAAACCTTACATTTCTAAATCCATAACCAATAGTTATTAAACCTGTAAACATCCATCTCAACGCTCCGCTCGTGTCGGTAAATGTTTCTGGTGTTAGCCATTCGTGTTACCGTTCGCTAGCTAGAAACACGAGTGGTAAACATTTAAAGAAAAAGCGTTGCGTACAGACGGAATTCATACCGCACTCTAGTGAAAACGGCACACGTTTACGAATCTATCAGAGGCAGGAGCGATTTCATTAACAGAGCCCGAGGTTAGACTAGAAATATTGAGAGGATTTTACAGAATTTTCTCAATACCCACCATCCTGGGTCGCCATGATGATTGTGTACAATCCTTAGGTTGTGGCAAAGAGAATACAGGAAGCGGGATAGAGTTTAAGCAGGAAGCAAACGTCGAGAAAAACTTAACTGTCACACAAAAAGAAACACAGAAAGTTTTTAGAATATGACAATTACGCAGAAACAGCTTCCCACACAAAGTAAAACATTTGCGGTGTTAGTAATTTGATGTTAGGAAAAGCGTTCGAGGCTAAGGGGAAAACCGGTTTGCTGAAAATAAAATACTGTTTGGTTTCTTATCAGTTTAATCTTTACTGCATGAAGCTATTTCGTGTAATACATCCTGAAAACATTTTAGTTCGAACAACAGAAAACATAAAATAACATTTTGTAACCACCTTTAGGACTTTCCCAAAACGGAAGTGACCGGCGGGTATCTATCTTGACAAAAGTAACTCTTTGTTGTTGTCGTGTCACAATCTCAATAAAGTTTTTCCTCATAATTTGTATGCTGTATGGAGTTCAAATAAAAAGATAAAAACAGTGTATTTTGCTGACGGTTATATTGTTATACTGAAAAATAAATCCCAAAACAAACTGATCGTATGTAACAGGCTATGATTTAATGAATACAGCAGGCCACATATTTTATGTAAAGTAAGTCTAAGAACAATTTACGTTTTTATCTGTTTGTCAGTGATCTTGCCAGAATTATTATTATTATTATTATTATTATTATTATTATTATTATTATTATTATTATTGTGATTTCCATCAAGTGCCAAAATCAATCCATGATTCTAAGGGTTATCATGAAAATCGTGCTGATGATGTGTGCAGTTCCAAGAAGGACAATCTTCTAGATTTTTTGAACTGTTGGATTTCCAAGAATCTGTTTCATTCTCTATTCCAATACTTCTTGATGAGGCCAAATGCACCAACTACAACGGGTATTGTTGTCGTCTTCATCCCCCACATTCTTCTAACTTCTGTTTCCAGGTCTTTGTACTTTGTACTTTGTCCTTGACAGTGACATTTTTTCAGATGGGATGGTCATGTCAATAATGAAGCAGTTGTTCTTTTCTTAGTTCTTAATGATGATGGCTGGCCTGTTGGCCCTGATTTCTCTATCTGTGTTAATTGGCATGTTACAAAACTGTGATGTTTTTGTTTTCAGTCACTGTTGGTGGTTGATATTCATTCATCTGCAGCTGATAGATGAAAATGCTTGCAGATCTTCCAGTGGATGTAGCTTGCTGCTTTGTCGTGCCTATGGATGTACTCTGATCTGGCTAGAGTGGGACAGCCGGATGAGGTCAATAGTTTCTTCATACTGGTTTGCACATTCTGCAGGTGCGATCTGTTCCGTCAATCATGATCTTGTGGTGGTATGATCTAGTAAACAGGCTCTGGTTTCACGCAGCTATCAACAATACTTCAGTTTCTGCCTTCAGTCCCGCACTGCATAGGCACCGATGTGTTTGATCTTGTTCCACATCTGCTCTTTTTACTCTTAACGGATATTGTCCCAGGCTGTGCAGGCTGCAAGAAGGTCCTGGGTTCGCTTCCCAGCCTGGGATCTTTCTGCATGGAGTTTGCATGTTCTCCCTGTGCATGCGTGGGTTCTCTCCGGGTACTCTGGCTTCCTTCTACACTCCAAAAACATGACTGTTAGGTTGATTGGTCTGTCTAAATTGTCCTTAGGTGTGTGTGTGTGTGTGTGTGTGTGTGTGTGTGTGTGTGTGTGTGTGTGTGCATGACTGTTTGTCCTGTGTGTCTCTGTGTTGCCCTGCGATGGACTGGCTCTCTGTCCAGGGTGTACCCCGCCTGATTGCCCTTTGACCGCGACCCTACGTGGACAAAGCGGGTTCAGACAATGGATGGATGGATATTGTCCATGCATTGGTTTTTCTCTCGCCCTTTTCCTTGTTTCTTTTTTGGTTATCTTGGAAAAGCTTATTATTATTATTATTATTATTATTGTTATTATTATTATTATTATCATTGTTGTTGTTATAGTTGTGGATGCTTTATCAGTTCTAAACACATGGCAAACTACAACTGCAACATTGAAGCCTTTAGGTCCACCATGTGTGTTCTTTAGACTCTTATGTGTCTGTTGCTTCTGCCTGTTGGCCATATCGTCGTTGTAAATGAGGATGAGTTCTCAATCCACTCATCTGGTTAATAAAGGTTAAAAAAATTATAAAAAGCAATAAAGAAGGCTAATGTAGATCATTTCAGTGTCTTCTATATGCAGTGGGCTGGGGTTTGAGTTGAGAGCACTGCAGACATTATATATATATATATATATATATATATATATATATATATATGTGTGTGTGTGTGTGTGTGTGTGTGTGTGTGTGTGTGTGTGTGTGTGTGTGTGTGTGTGTGTGTGTGTGTGTGTGTGTGTTTTCCACTTCATGCTCAAAAATCTAGTTCCCCGGAAAATGTTTCTCTTGGTCACCTGTGGACGGCAGCAAAGCTTAGGAGTCCAAATGAATTCCAATGACACGTGAAGAAGAGGAGAGCAACGGGAACAGTGATCTGCACAACGAAAAGTCAGTGAAAAAGAAAAAAAAGCGCGGAAAAAAAAGTGCTTTATTAAAGTCACAAGTTGTCATGTGTACTCCTAACGGGAGGGCTGCTCTACTGTCTGCTAGTACTCGGAGCTGCGCCCCAGCCGTTAAACTGACCCACTAGACAGACAGAAGTCTTCTTTAACGCCGCGTGACTTTGTTGATAAGGGTTTATTCCAGGAGTCTATGGAGTTCAAATTTAGTTAACTAAACGTTTAAAAAAGTCGCGGTAAAGGTGGAATGTACTTTTAGAGCGCAGCATGGCAGATAAAAGCACTTACAACGTTGTGATTTTGGGAGTGGGATTTCTGCTCATCTTCACTGCCTTCACTACCTGTGGAAACGTAGAAGTAAGTTTCCTTATTTATTTGTTTTATTTAAGTCAAGTGGTGTGTGCGCGTGTGCGTGTGTGTGTGTGTGTGTGCGTGTGCGTGTGTGTGTGTGTGTTTAGGTGAACGAATTGAAAAGCTAATCAGACATGTCCGATGAGCGTGAGGAAAGAGGAATGATCAGGCGCATCTCGTGTTTCTGATTTTCTGTAAGGGTCCGTGAAATCACCAAACCGGATAAATGACCCGAGGTCATGACCTCTGCGGCTCCTTTTATCAAATCTAATCCAGCTTTCATGAATTCTTATCATTTCAGCAAACAGTGTTGAAGGGTCTGAACAACGCAACGTTCAGTGGGAGTGGATATCACAGGTAGGGAATGAACTCCACAGACTCCCATATGAGAATAAACCCATAAATGCACCAAATGTTTTGCAAATAAGTGTGATTTTGCTTCTCTACTTCCTTTACAGTTTAGGGATCATCTATGGAGTCTTCTCCTTCTCTAATTTGCTTGCGCCGACAGTCGTTACAGTAATTGGAGCGAAGCTGACTATGTTTTTAAGTGGCCTACTTTACAGGTAAACATGCTAATTACACGAGAGACACTGATGAGGAGGCTGATGCTCATGAATATGTCTGCCTCTAGTGGCTACATTGCAGTGTTCATCATCCCCTCCACATGGTCCTTTTACCTCACCTCAGCCCTCATCGGCATTGGAGCAGCTTGTAAGTTCGTTTCGCACACACTCTCTCCTTCTTTTAGGAGTTTTGAATGCTTTTATTTTTGGATGTGAATCAATTTAGATCTGAGGAACATACATATTTTAACACCCTGCGACTTTGCAAGTTCTGGATCAGGAATTCAGGTGCATTCCCACTGTGAGAGACGGTATTTAACCCCCTAGGCCCTGTGTCCACGTATGTGAACATTCTGCTCCTTGCACTATAAAATGTTATCTTCACCTTAGACCTTTTTGTAATTATTTATAAACACATAATATTGACTTTAAGTTAAAATGTATTTTTTAAATTTTCTTATAGGAAATTTGACAAAAAATTTATTGAATTTAATTTGTATTTTATTTTAATATTTGTAATTTTGTTTCTGTTAATGAGAGTAGACTGCTCTGTAATAGTTAGATGTATTTTGTCTTTTAAACCACATGAAATACAGGTTCAGGGGCCTCATTTATCAAGCTTGCTTACGCACAAAATGGGGTCGGAAAACCGCGTAAGCAACTTTCCACGCAAACTTTGGGATTTATGAAAGAAAACTTGGCGGAAAAATGTGCACAACTTTAAGTTGACCAAGGATCTAGCTTACGCACATGTTGGACATGGAGAGCACCTGCAGTGCTGCTGCTGAGAAGGATAAAATTATGAAATCCTGCAGCATTATCACTTGTACTGCTTCGTTTTCACACAGAACAAGACCCCCGCTATTATGTCCCCCGGCTCTCTAGGAGAGATGAGGAGGGGAATAATAAAAAGGGGTGTGTGGAGTAAATAAGTGCAGTGTCGCTAAAAACAAGGGATTTATTACAAACGGAAATATTTACAACAATAATCTTAATATATACAAAACAAAAGGAGCTATCTACAAAAGGGGAGAACGAAAAACACCAACCCAGAAGGGATTGGGGAGTAAATAACCGAGAATTCTAAAGATATATACAAAAGGAGAGATCCGAAGTCTTAAGTCAAAAAGCGGTCCGAAGTCTACAAGCCAAATTATCAAATCCTAATTCATCCAAATCCGAAATCCAAAACCAAGAGCACCGAAGACTTTCACCACGAGCTTTTAACCAAAAGCGCACGAGGAGAAGAGAATAGTATAAACTCTTTCGAACAGAAACCTCCCGTGGAATTTACACTATCCTGGACCTTCTCATTGAACTGGTGGCTGGGAGCAGCTTTTAACAGCTGCCAAGTGATTGCCCAATTACACGCAGCTGAGCACCGGGAGACAGGCGAGGCAGAAACCACTGAGGCCATCTTATGGCCGAAAAGGGGCACGGCTCGTAACACCCCCACACGCAGCTGTGTGTACTCCATGTTTGATAGATCACAAACCTACTTGGCATGAGTACATTTTTTTGCTGAGCTTAAGTACGGTTTTAGTAAGGATTCTACGCAATGCTTGGTAACTGAGGCCCCAGGTCTCAGGAGGTTAAAAAGATTCAGGACCTCACATTGTTTGATGTTACTGTACATTTAAAGGACATTTTGTGAATATGTGACTGCAAAGTAAACAGTTTAGGATTACAGCTAATCATCTGTGTTTTTCCAACCTTATGCCAAAATAAACGTATATTAAATAGGACTCATTTCCAGCCACCACTTTAGCAGTACTAGTACATTCCTCAATAACCTGGTTAGGGTGGGTCATGTGCCCTACTGCATTTGGAAAGGGACAATTTTCTTTTCTTGATCAGCAGTAGCTCAGGAGGTGGAGCGGGTTGTCCAGTAATTGGAGGGTTGTAGGATCGATCCCGACTCCCAGCAGAGAGTGCTGCTGTTGTGTCCTTGGGCAAGACACCTAGCCACAATCTGCTGGTGGTGGTCTGAGGGACCGGTGGCGCCTGTGCTCAGCAGCCTCGCCACTGTCGGTGCGCCTCAGGGCAGCTGTAGCTACAATGTAGCTCATCATCATCAGCATGAATGACTGCTTGTGTTGTGAAGCATCTTGGGGGGTTGTATAACTCTACAAGGCGCTATACAAATACAGGCTATGTACCATATACTAATGTGGTATTTTTTATATAATTACGCAAAATGCTATAATGGACTGCTGTAAACCACAATGTTCTGATTATTACTTCCTGTATCGTGCTTTAAAGGACTAATGAAAACATTGTTGGTAAAATGTTGAAAAAAGTGACATTTTTAATTGTATTTTTATTTTTTAGCGTTAATTATTTTCTATGTTTATTTGATTGAAACTCACATGATCTTTAAGCACAATCATCAACTGTGTTGTGGAAACACGGCAGCCTGATCACGCTGAGGAGGAACGCCAACAGGGAAGTGACATCATAGCATGTAAAATACCTCACCGGGGCTCTTGCAGATCAGTTCCTCTGTTCATATTCAACTTGTGTTTTATTTAGCTTTTGCACTCAGGGATTAGCATGTCTGTGACGCTGTAAACAGTAAATCCTGAATTAGCCCTTAAACGGACTACGTTTCCCACTAGTGCACATCACCTTGAGCTTACTCATAAACATTAATGAAAACACAGGGAAAAAACCCTCTACTGATCATTTTGTGCAAAATTGAGGAGAAATGATTAGGAGCTGTGTTTTATTTAATGCTCCCTCAAATCACTGCAGCTTTATGCATTTTTATTGTGTCCCAGGGCTACTGTATGCTTGGATGCATTATTTACTGACATAAAACAGAAGAAATCTTCTCCTCCTGTGGGCAAATAACTGATTAGTGAAACATTTTCCCTCCCCCTCACCTTCCCACAGTGCTCTGGACCGCCCAGGGACACTTTTTAGTGGAAAACTCTGAGGCTTCTACCATCAACAGGAACACTGGAATGTTCTGGGCCCTCCTACAATGCAGGTTTGTAGCTTCTGTTGCAGAGAAAGCAGCTTTTTAAACATGCATTCATTTTAGAGATGAACACAAAGATGGCAGGCGGTTGTAAATCAGACAGCAGCTTTTATTTTGAAATAAAAATAGTTGCAACTGTTTTCTCTGCTAACCACTAAAGCTCTTTCTTAAAAACAGATGGTGCAAGTTTGATCTTTTCACTTCTGGGATTTGGCCCACTGCTCTTGCAGACTGGCTTAGGCAGCAAACTTGTGTTTGCTCTTGTACCCAAATTGAATTAGAATTGTAATTATGTTGGCCGTCACCTGTGCCAAAGCTCCCACCAGGGCAATGCTAATCCGGCTGCACCGGGATGACCAATGCCGTAATAAACTTATGATTCAGTTTCTCACAGTCCGCAAACACAGAACGCCACTGTTGTCTTTCTGTGAATAGCCTCTGTTCCTCCTCGCTGGAGCTCTGAGAAGAAAGGCTGGAGGTTTGATCCAACACATCCAGGATTTGACTTTTTTTTTTTTACCCACACACAAGAAAACAAAAATGAAAAAAAAAAAAAAAACACAAGAAAACATCCCTTTCTGTAAGATTTTGATTAATTAAAAAAAATCAACCTGTCTCATGTTTTATGCATCTCACATGGCTCCATTAACACCACACTCTGAGTCATTTTACGACACTCATCGTTCAAATGGGGGGAAATTAATTAAAGGTCACATTTTTTAAGCTCTGAAAAACCTAAAGAGGTTGGAAATTGACAAATCTTGAAATGCACAACTAATTGCACATGAGAGCGATGCATTTAAATGGTGAAAAGTTTAGCTCTGCTAACGCTTCCCCTCTGGTGCTCTAATTATGATGAAACATGATGGGTTTTGCTCTTTTACGTGTGAACTCAGATGACCTTTGGAACTTTTAACATCTTCAGATATCTGCACAAGCAGGGGCGGATTAAGGACTGAAGAACATCCGGGGCTTAACACACACACACACGTGACACGCGTCAACATCATATTTGTCTTGTACCACATAATTTTTAATCTGAAGCTACATATTATGCATTTTCAGGGCAGAGTATTGTTCCTGTTAGTGTTTAGTGTGAGATGATAGTAAATATTCCCTTTCTTTCTCCAACAACTTTACCTGATAGTAAGCTAACTTTAGGCAAACCAGCAGCACAACAAATATTTTCAAATAAGACTCACAAACCTGAGTCAGCACCAGTCTCATCAAAGCTGGGGTTCTGTTGTTGTACTTTTGGTCTAAAAACATCCTTATGTCCATCTTCACTCATGCGTTTCAGGCAGAGAGTGTAGAAGAAGCCGGCTGCTGAAGGGCTTCTTCTTCAGTGGTGGAGGCTCAGGCAGGCTGTATACAAGCTACTGCCAGCTGCTCCCTCTCTGTTGGACTTTGGTACTGCATGTCACTTCCGCGATTCAGATCCGGGGCTTTCTATGAAACATCCGGGGCTTCAGCCCAAGTAGCCGGGCCTAACGCCGCCCCTGTGCACAAGGCTTAAAAATGACAAACAGCTGCTAAAACACATTTTGTGTTATTTATTGGCAAAAACGCTCCAATATTACACATTTATGAGATGAGTGCCAGTCTTGGTTGAAGTTGTGCAGAATAAACATTGTTTTTTGCGTGTGTCAGTTTGGTGAGTTTGTGTCGATTCTTCTGTTCAGAAACGCTTTACCTCTGGGACGTTTGAGGGTTTCCCCACGTGTTTACTGGTGTCAGGTGTTTCCAGATCATATCTGCTGGATCAAAGCTAAAACTTTGACATAGTCACCTCAAAAGATGAGCATCTATTTGCTCTTTGAAAAAGAAAGAACTTTTTGTTGGTTAGAAAACGTCAAGAGTTGCTTTGACCTTGCCGACATTTGCTCAGCTCTTGCTTATTAAAGTTAAAGTCCCATTAGTTGTCACACACACAGGTGTGTGTGCGAAATTTGTTCTCCGCATTTGACCCATCCCCTGGGGGAGCGGTGAGCTGCAGACACAGCCACGCTCGGGAACTATTTGGTGGTTTAACCCCCCCCAATCCAACCCCTTAATGCTGAGTGTCAAGCAGGGAGGCTTTGGGTCCCATATTTTTCTAAGTCTTTGGTATGACCCGACCAGGAATCGAACCCCTGATCTCCCAGTCTCAGGGCGGGCACTCTACCACTAGGCCACTGAGAAAGGGTGAGATGGCACCACTAGATCCTTCATGTGTACAGTCTGCCTGTTAATTGACGAAATGCAAGAGAAATGGTTTTGTTTATTTTTTCTGAAGTCAGAAAAACTGCATTCCCATTTTTAAGTGAAGCGGCTCCTCCACATCGCTCTCTCATGTGAGAAGCCAACTTCATTCAGAATGGACTAAAGTGCTGTGGACTTTCATTTCATCTTTAAATTAAAGGCTAATCTCACAGGTTCGCTCACATTTAAAGTTTAATTCTGGATTCTTTTCTTCACTAAAACATTTTTTAAACATTTGTGTCTGATTTTTTTCAGCTGGATTGTCTTTGCTGGCTTTATTTAGTGTGAAAATGGGATGACGTTTAGGTTGTGTTCATGTACTATATGTATATAGATCTGCATAAATAGACACTCAGGTTTTGACTTCAACTGTAATAAAGTAAACGTCCCATAGTCATCATCACACACTGGTGAAATTCATCTCTGCATTTGACCCATCCCCATGGAGGGGAGTGGTGGGCTGCAGCAGCGGCTGTGCTCGGGAACTATTTGGTGGTTTAACCCCCCCAATCCAACCCCTTAAAGCTAAGTGTCAAGCAGGGAGGCGCTGAGTCCCCCTTTTTTCAAGTCTTTGCTATGACCTGACCGGGAATCAAACCCTGATCTCCCAGTCCCAGGGCAGGCACTCTTAATCTGAGAGCATGGTGTTGAGTGGGAAAAGGGTAGAATGCCTTCTCCGGGTCAGGGATGAGGTCCTGCCTCAAGTGGAGGAGTTTAAGTATCTCGGGGTCTTGTTCCGGAGTGAGGGTGAGATCGACAGATGGACTGGTGCTGCTTCTGCAGTGATGCAGGCGTTGTACTGATCTGTCGTGGTGAAGAGAGAGCTGAGTCGGAAGGCAAAGCTCTCGATTTACCGGTCGATCTACGTTCCTACTATCATCTATGGTTAGCTTTGGGTAGTGACCGAAAGAACGAGATTGCGGCTGAAATGAGTTTTCTCTGCAGGGTGGCTGGGCTCTTCCTTAAAGATAGGGTGAGAAGCTTGGTCATTCGGGAGGGGCTTGGAGTAGATCCGCTGCTCCTCCACATCAAGAGGAGCCAGTCGTGGTGGCTCAGGCATCCGATTAAGATGCCTCCCTGGTGAGGTTTTCTCGGCACGTCCAACTGGGAGGAGACCTAAAGGAAGACCCAGGACACGCTGGAGGGACTATGTCTCTTGGCTGGCCTTGGGATTCCCCCGGCGGAGCTGGCCCAAGTGGCTGGGAAGTCTGGACCTCTTGGCTTAGGCTGTTGCCCTTGTGACCTGACCCTGGATAAGCTGCTGAAGATGGATGGATGTACTGCTGCACAAAAACACCTTTTGAATCAGTTGAATCCTGCATGTTATATTATCGCATTTCTGAGGAAAGAACATTTATTTTTTTCAACAAAGCACAGAAGCAGCTTTTTATATTTCATTATGGAGACTTCTGAGAGCCGTACACATAATAAATCCCACCCAGGGAACGCTAACCCTGGAATTACATGTCATGGGGCGCTATATAATAAATAAAACTGATACACGCGTTTCATCCAGTATTTCATTTGTGTGAAAAATGCCACATGTGACGTTTAATTTTCTGCTTCACTTTCATTTACAGCATGCTGTTTGGCAATCTTTACGTTTATCTGGACTGGAATGGAAAAGCAGAGATATCAGGTAGGATCAGACGTGGGTCTGCTGACTGTAAAACTCTAGCATGATGATGCAAGTAAAATGCCATCAAACGGGATTATCGGGGTAATTCTGACATATTCTTCCGCTTTAATGGTCTTTAAATATCTGCGGCATTTTAATAAAGCGGTTTATTTTAATCTCTCAGATAGCAGCCGGAGGAACATTTTCCTGTTCCTGCTGGTCGCCTCCATCCTCGGCACTCTCAGCTTCCTGGTGCTGAGGACGAGCCATCGTGAAGAGGAGATGATCTCTGAAGAGGAAGGGCAGTCGCTGCTTTCAACTCGCTCCATGTAAATGACCCTCCTCAAGATAATTGCACCTTTTTCACAAAGTCAGACAGAATGCTTTAGAGAGAGAGAGCGAGAGAGAGAGAGCGAGAGAGCAGGAACAAACACACTACAGCAAATGTGACCTAGAAAAGTTGTCCACGAATCTTTGATCCTCGTAGACCAAAAGGCTTTTTCTCCAAATAGCCCCCACTAGATTTTGCAAGGGGTTTCGAGATGACTTAATACAACGATTTTAAATGATTCTTGTCCTTCACAGAATGACACTGACCGTTTCTCTCCAGATCTTTGCAATTTTGACAGAGTCAAGTCTAATCATAGCACTTTACAAGAGCAGGCTGCAATCAGGGAGCTGGCGTGGAGACTCTGAGAGTGACATGAACGACCCTTTGCATCTTTTCAGACATCTTTTAAGCTCCATGAATTTGGATAAAGTTCAAATCATGAAATGTTACAACGTCGTTTTGCATTAAAGACGAATGAAAGTCAAAAGAAAAATGTTCTGGAGACAAAAACGTGATTCTGTAGAGAGTCAGCGGGATCAGAAACTTTTCTTTTTATCTGTTTGAGGTGAAACTGTGAGTTAGACAGTGGTCTGGACCTGTCGGGCGCAGGAAATTGATTCTTGTTTATTGGTCAGCTTTGACTAGACCAGGGGTGGGCAATCCTGAACCTCAAGGGCCACTATCCATCAGGTTTTAGTTATTTCTCTGCTTAAACACACCTGGTTTGAATCTGCTGGTGATTAACAGGTTGCTGCAGAGCCTGATGAGCTGTTAAACAGGTGATTCGTCTAGAAATCAGGTGTGCATCCTGCGTCTGACAGGTCCAGGCTGCTGTCTAACTCAAAGTTTCACCTCAAACAGATAAAAAGAAAGTTTCTGATCCCGCTGACTCTCTACAGAATCATGTTTTTGTCTCCAGAACTTTTTTCTTTTGACTTTCATCCATCTTTAATGCAAACGTAAAACATCTTTTGGTCCTCGAGGGCCACTGTACAGCAGGTTTTAGTGGTTTACCTGCTCCAACACACCTGATTTCTACACGAATCACCAGTTTAACAGCTCATCAGCCTCTGCGGCAACCTGTTAATCACCAGCAGATTCAAGCCAGGTGTGTTTAAGCAGAGAGACAACTAAAACCTGCCGGAGGACCCTTGAGGACCAGGATTGCCCACTCCTGGACTAGACAATTCAATTCAAAGATACTTTATTAATCCCAGAGGGAAATTAGAGCAATGCCCCCCCCCCCCCCCCCAAAAAAAATACATTAATTGTGCAAGCATGATCCTTCGATGTTAATTTATTTTATAAAACCTTGAGATTTTATTTCTGTGCCGCTTCTTTCTGCTCATGTTTTTTAGGTATAAAAACAGAGCGGAGGCCGCTTTGCAGGATACCAAATCAGATTTCAGTAAGTTTTTTATCTTTGCTTCACTAATCCCTCACAAAATGATGACCCTGGACAGATGCTTGTGCTGGAGTTTTAATAAGCATATTTGAATGAACACACTCACTGGCCACTTTATTAGGCACACCTTAATTCTAGTTGTCATGTTGAATCAGGTTCTGGCCCATTATGATACAACATCATCACATAGTTGTTGCTGATTTGTGTGCTGCACACCTGTGAGCAGAATCAGTTCCAACACATCCCAAAGGTTCTGGACCGGACTCAGATCTGGTGACTGTCATGTTCTAGAAACCAGTTAGAGGTGATCTGAGCTTTGTGACATGGTGCTATATCCACCCAGAAGATGGGTCGGAACATGGGTCCATGTGGTCATGAAGGGATGGACATGGTCAGCAGCAATGCTATGGTAGGTTGCGGCATTTAAACCAGGCTCAGGTGGTTCTAATGGGTTCATAGTGGGACAAGAACATCACTACCACCACACCAGGACACCGGCAGCAGCCTGAAGCTTTGATACAGGACAGGATGGATCCATGCTTTTATGTTGGTGACACCAGATTCTGGTAGAAGCCAGTCGTTTCTGCCATGTGCAATTAAACAGGTGTCCTAAGTAAGGAGTCTGTTGAGTGTATGTTTTCATAGTAAAGTCTGAATAGGGTCAGACCGCCCCAAGGCAGCTGTGGCTGCATAGAAGCTTACCGTCACCAGTAGTTTGCGATTGTGAGAGCGCGAATAATGGAGAGAGCTTTGAGTGCCTAGAAAAGCACTATATAAATATAATCTGTTTTGTTTTTGTTATTCTGATGATTAAATAATATTACCGTAATTTCCGGACTATAGAGCGCACCTCAGTATAAGCTGCACCGGGCTAAAAGCCGCAGATATCTACTGAATTGAAAACGTAGTTTAACTGAACGTAACTGAACTGATCAGTATCAAACAAAACAGAAAAGGTATTGATTAGTGTATTCATCGTCCTCCTGTGCACTGAAACCACTGAAGTCATCATCTTCTTCAGTGTCGGAGTTGAACAGCCTCAGAAGAGCTTCGTCACACACCTTTTCTGTGGCGATTTCAGTGTCGCTCTCCGTGTTGCTGTCATCATCCCGGGGTTAAGCTGGGAAAACAAGCAGCGCCGTTTTACAGTGAAAACAAATCTTCCTGGACGCTTTCCGTAGCACTCCTTTAACCATTCCTTCATTAGACTTTCCAGCATCCATCCTTTCTGGTTGACTAAAGCCGCACCTCATTATAAGCCGCATGGTTAAAAGCGTGGGAAAAAGTAGCGGCTTATAGTCCGGAAAATACGGTAATAATAATAGTTGTAGTAGTAGTAGTAGTAGCGTTAAATAATTGGCTAAAAGGCTATTTAGACACAACAAAAACACAGAAGTGAGATTTTGTGTGAAAGGAAAATTCTTCTGGTTTTTTTTTTCTGTCCAAAACAGCAAATGTCTGTCGTCTGGATCAAAACAGAAAACACACACGGTGTGTGATGCTGCTGCCCTTTAAGCTGTGCGTTGCCATTTTGGCTAATAATGATGCATATAAAATCAGGAAAAAGAGGTTTTGTCTGGGAGTTTGTGGGAATGATGTGAAGCCATTAGAGAAAGGGGAAGCTAAAATGTTGTTTTATTTTTGTGTTTCTTTTATTTCCTGGTGATTTTTATTTATCTGATTACTTCTCGTCTGATACAGTTGCAGGCCAGTTTTGTTTTTCTTCCATGACTTTCATGTGGATAAAATCTTTCAGCATCACGACAGAGTACACAGAAAGTGTCTTCGCGTGAGTTTATCTCAGATTATCTCTCGGTTTGTCAACCAGAAACTCTGGGTGTGTTCGATCCACGGGAAGGATGCTTGTGAGGACGCATTTTGAGGTCGATGACGTCACAGCGCAGCGACAAGTACTGTCCGAATTCCAAGAATACTCATTCTCGCGTCCACGCTCCACCCACATTTCGAGGACGGGTCCGTTGTCTCCTCACAGAACAAGGCTATCCCAGCATGCTTTGCGCGCCGGCTGTGGATTTTCAACAGGAAGAGAAAATGGGGAGAGCTACGAAATTTTAAACGTAAGTTTGTTAAAAATTAGCCGTAGAAACCTAAAAAGCTTAAAGCGGTTCAGTTTATAGACATTTTTCGTTTGTACAGGTGCTGGCCAGTAAATTAGAATATCATCAAAAGGTTGAAAATATTTCAGTAATTCCATTCAAAACGTGAAACTTGTACATTATATTCATGCAATGCACACAGACCAATGTATTTCCAATGTTCATTACATTTAAATTTGATATTCATAAGTGACAACTAATGAAAACTCCAAATTTGGTATCTCAAAAAATTAGAATATTCTGAAAAGGCTGAATATAGAAGACACCTGCTGCCACTCTAATCAGCTGATTTACTCAAAACACCTGCAAAGGCCTTTAAAAGGTCCCTCAGTCTTGTTTTGAAGGCACCACAATCATGGGGAAGACTTCTGACTTAACAGCTGTCCAAAAGACAATCATTGACACCTTGCACAAGGAGGGCAAGACACAAAAGGTGACTGCTAAAGAAGCTGGCTGTTCGCAGAGCTCTGTGTCCAAGCACATTAACAGACAGGCGAAGGGACGGAAAAAATGTGGTAGAAAAAAGTGTACAAGCTCTAGGGATAACCGCACCCTGCAGAGAATTGTGACGACAAACCCATTCAAAAATGTGGGGGAGATCCACAAAGAGTGGACTGCAGCTGGAGTCAGCGCTTCAAGAACCACCACGAGGAGACTCATGAAAGACATGGGATTCAGGTGTCGCATTCCGTGTGTCAAGCCACTCTTGAACAAGAAACAGCGCAAGAAGCGTCTCGCCTGGGCCAAGGACAAAAAGGACTGGACTGATGCTGAGTGGTCCAAAGTTATGTTTTCTGATGAAAGCAAGTTCTGCATTTCCTTTGGAAATCAAGGACCCAGAGTCTGGAGGAAGAGCGGAGAAGCACAGAATCCACGTTGCATGAGGTCCAGTGTAAAGTTTCCACCGTCAGTGATGGTGTGGGGTGCCATGTCATCTGCCGGTGTTGGCCCACTCTGTTTCCTGAGGTCCAGGGTCAATGCAGCCGTCTACCAGGAAGTTTTAGAGCACTTCATGCTTCCTGCTGCTGACCAACTTTATGGGGATGCAGACTTCACCTTTCAACAGGACTTGGCACCTGCACACAGTGCCAAAACCACCAGCACCTGGTTCAAGGACCATGGTATCCCTGTCCTTGATTGGCCAGCAAACTCGCCTGACCTTAACCCCATAGAAAATCTATGGGGTATTGTGAAGCGGAGGATGCAATACGCTAGACCCAACAATGCAGAGGAGCTGAAGACGACTATCAGAGCAACCTGGGCTCTCATAACACCTGAGCAGTGCCACAGACTGATCGAGTCCATGCCACGCCGCATTACTGCAGTTATTGAGGCAAAAGGAGCCCCGACTAAGTATTGAGTGCTATACATGCACATTCTTTTCATGTTCATTCTTTTCAGTTGGCCAACATTAGAGAAACAAACATTTTTTCATTGGCCTTTAGAATATTCTAATTTTCTGAGATACCAGATTTGATGTTTTCATTGGTTGTCACCTATAAATATCAAATTTAAATGTAATGAACATTGGAAATACATTGGTCTGTGTGCATTGCATGAATATAATGTACAAGTTTCACGTTTTGAATGGAATTACTGAAATATTTTCAACCTTTTGATGATATTCTAATTTACTGGCCAGCACCTGTATATTTGTTTTTTAAATTACATTTTAGGCAGAAATCAGCCAGAACCAGTTTGTTTTGCAGGTCCCAGTTATTCCCGTGGGTGTGTTTGTGTGTGTGGCGAATTAAACATTTGTTTTAAGGACAACGGAGCAAAGAAGCGTTTTTATTAAACTTAGAGGTGAAGAGTGAAGCTGTTTACACACACAACCACTGAAGTTCTTTTGTGAAAAGTAGTTTTACATTCAGGGATTTACACAGCTGACATGTTTTAATGAAGTAAAAATTGTTTGTGTGAAGTAAAAATGTGTTTATTGCCTTTTTGTCACCTGTGGTCTCTGATTTTCTCTGTAGGACTGCAGGTGTCCAGGGTCAGGAGAGGCTTTACCGGGTGGTCATCCTGGGAGAGAGGCCTTCTACTGTCATCATGTTAATGTTATTTAGCTGTTTGATATTTGAACACATTTATTAAAACAAATACTAACTGATAACTCATTCTGGTCATTGATTTTATCGCCAGTTTTATTATTACAGATGTTTTTGAACATGTTACATGAACAGAAAATGAAAAGATGGTAAGGAGACAAGATTATTTATAATACGTTACTTATTTACAGATGAAAACCAATATGAACCAGTTATGTACGGTTAAAGCAGGATTAACCTGAGTGACTCTTCCTGGATCATTTATTTAAACTGAGTGAGCAGGAAGTCTTTAACAGTGCAGCTGGATCTGCTGCAGGAGGATCCAGACGTGGATGGAGGGCTGGAGCAGACCCGTGGCTGGACGTTTCTGGCCAGAAGAACATCATACAGGACGGTCTGCCGAGAGAGCTTTGGGACGCTTGCTCTCACTGTCCACTCCATCGTCCATCTACTGCTGGGCTGGCTCAGACGACGGCTGTTACATCTCTGTGAATGACTTGCCTGTTAACAATAGTGGTGGTCTGCTGGTACCTCCTCCAGGACAGAGCACCACTGACCTCCTCCACACACATCTTCCTCAGGCTCATCCTCCAGACCCACAACTTCACCAGCACAGAGGCAGATGTGCAGCACAGTGCATGCTGACCTGTAATAGATTAAATAAGAATTTCTTTAATTGAAAAATGTAAAACAAAACATATAACCTGCAGTACACTGGTTCTGTTCAGTTTAAAGAAAAGCAGCAGGGGAAACTACAGAGAATTTACATTTTTTAAGACAGATCTAATCATTATTAGGCTTAAGTTGAATAAACAAATGCACATTGAAAACACTTCAATGCTATTTTATTAAGAAGCCTGCTTTTTAAAACGTTTTACTAGCCTAGTGAACCAAATTCTTGCTTTGCAAAGTTTAAATAATACATTTATTTAGTCTAGCTTGCCAGGCTAACGTTTTACCCCATTTGATGCAAAATAAGAAGTTCTAAGCTCCAATTTACATTAGAAAACATCCTACTGCATTCAACATTTATAATGCATTTGGTTTATATTAATTACCTACGTGATAATACTCTGTAGTAATGTGTCGTGTACGTTTAACAAGTTCATTCTGTAGCTTAAAACATACACGAACCATCTAAAGTTAACATGTAAGTCCTGAAAGCTTCTAGAATAAACAAAATTACTTTACCTGAAAACGGTTGTGAACAAACGCTGCTGATGGACGTGAAGCTGCTGTAGCTCCTTAATATTCCTGCTCGATTTTCGCTAGCTTTAGCATTTTTCCTTTGCGTGTAGCTGCCGCCACGGCTGTGACGGGACGGGACCTACGGGCCACCGTAGAGGTGAAGGCTAGACTGTCCGAATTCAGAGCCGCTGGGTTCCGGTCGTCCAGCAAGCAAGGACCCGGCCTTGCTAGACCGGCCCGTGGATTCGGACACACCCTACGTTATGAATATTGAGCAGCATATAAATAAACCTGCGTCGTTTTGGCTGCACACGCACACTTAACGCTTGCAATTAAATGTATCTTGTTTAATTGGCGCATAGAACATAGAACATTAACAATTGTAAACTAATAACAGCCGTAATTCATGTGGTCAAGCTGAAAAACAAAAACAGAAGTCAGTGGGCTACGCTGAGTTTGCGTGAATGGGCGGGGCTGACTAGTGCAGCTCCGCCTTTGTTGTTCTGCAGCAAGCACCCTCACGTGACGTGTGGAAGGGAGCGGGGCCAGGAGCGCTGCCCTCCTGGCCCCGCCCCCTTTCATCACGTCACGTGAACAGCGTCTGCGTCCTCTCAGTGACGTCATAAAGCCTATTACCTTGACCCGCAAGTCAGATCTAAGTCACAGTTGTTCCGACCACACCTCAGAGGCATACAGAGTACCATGGAAAATTATCTGGAAAACCGAAATCAACCGTTTATTGATTCACTTCAGGAAAACAAGAAGTTATTAATAGATTTATTTTATTTGGAAGAAAAAGTCAAAGATTTGAAAAGGCACATTGTAAGAGAGAACGAGCTTTCTGCTGCAGAGAAATTAAAGCAACTGGGCATTTATGAAGTGGAGTTTAAAAAACATGATCTTGATTTAATTTTAGAAAATAGAGTTGCCAAAGATACGATTTTAGCCCATAAGTCTAATTTAATTAAACAGGGGTATTTACTTAAGGAACTCGAAGAGGAAAATACAGTCCTGAAAAATTACAAATTACATTGTGAAAAGAAAGTCCTGGAACAGAAGACTTTAGGTGACCGTCTCTCAAAAATTACCATTGAAAATAAAGGCCTACGCTTAGATTTACCAGGAACATCTAAGAACATGAACCAAAAGTATACAAGTTATAAGGACGACTGGATTTTAGGTGCTATGTCACAAAATGAACAAAATATTAATGAACTGGAGGGCAAACTGGAAGCCCTGAAGTGTTCAAATCAAGAAGACTCGTCAAACCTAGGCGATATCTTAAAGCAGGAACAGGAAAAGAGAGAGAATCTGCTCCAATACTATTTGATGATGAAAGACTGGCATTCACAATTAGAAGATGTTAAGAAGGAGTCTTGCTCTGCGATTGACAGAACGGAGTATGCAGACTCAAAGTTAAAACAGTTAGATCAAGCGAGACTTTCAGCTCTCATGCAAAACTCAGCGGCGAAAAAGACGTTGAGAAAGGAATTGACTGACATAGAGGAAGAAAACATTTCAATTTATCAAACAAATGTTGACTGGAGAACTAAGGGTGAAGATTTAAAAAGGACGATAAAAGAAAGGAAAGAACTTTTAGCTGAAAGAGAGCAACAGTTCATTGATTCTAAAAATGAAACAGACGAAAAGACGGTTGAAGAAAGGCTGGAAGCGTTAAGGCAAAAACAGAATCCGCATCACGCCTACCATCCTAAACCCTGGGTTCGAAAATTTTAAAATCGGTCCTTCATAAACAATTATTCATTGATGGCATTTACTTAGAGACAGATACAGGAACATGGACAATGTAAAACCACGTTCACACGTTTGTAGCAAGATGCTTTTAGCTATAGCTAATTTACAGCACTTTAGATGGGCTGTTAAAACAGTCAAAAGAAGTTTATAATCTTATTTTTCATCGTGGGCATGCTTTGCTGTCTACTATAGTAAATTGCGGGGAGGTGGGAGGGAAGCTAATGAAGAAACCAGTTTTTAGCATTTCATCGTATTTATTTAGGTAAGTTCACACGGTTGGCTGCAATAACAGAGAAGGGCGTAAATTCAGCTCGTCTTTCTGTTCAATAAGTTTCTTGGACTCACCACTTGTGAAAGGAGCCAAAGATGTTGGGTGCAATGTGTAATGTAGCCAAAGGAGAGACTATTCAGCTGGGAAGGGAACGCCTTGGGAATTCCCCCGAAAGAGCTGGCCCAAGTGGCTGGTGAGAGGAAAGTCTTGGCCTCCCTGTTTAGGCGACTGCCTCCGCGACCTAAAGCTGGATAAGTGGCCAAAAATGGAAGGATGGATGAAACTTTGTTATGGCACTTACACATTAGCGTCGGCACGGCCCCAGAAGGTATCGAACGGCACCAGAATTTGGCTTCACACACAGGTCAGATTCACGTTTTCGGTGCAGAGGCGACTCTTTTTCTTAGACCTCCTCCTCTACACCTACCGCCTTCGATCTGCGAGTAGAATGAGCCAGCGGGGGGTTTCCCGCATGCGCGATTCACTTTTACGCTGGATGCTTAGAGTAGAGTAAAATTCTGTCTGTAGCACAGAGCTGCCGTTTCAGAGCTGCCGATTTGGGAACGGGAGAAGAGAATAGCTCTGTGTGTGTGCGTGCGCACGCCTGTTCTCCGTATCGGAGCTCTTGCCCCGGTGAACAGACAGCTGCTCTGGGAAAAAATCAGTGTGTGTGTGGCACAAGATTATGAGGACACCAAGGCGCTGAACACGGTACATGAGAAAAAAAAGGTAAAAACATTAAAGTAGAAAACAAATGGGTAAAACAAGACATAAAGAGACCAATGAAAGCAGGGAATTAAAATCAACATAAATGAAGCCGGCGGCTAACAGATAAGTGTGTAAACCAGTGGGAAGTGTGGTGGTGGTGGTGGTGGTGGGGGGGGGGGGTCGGGAGTCACAAGACAGCGTTTCCCTGCCGTAGACGAGGACTGCCAGGTCTCCGATGTAGCCTAGTTGTCTTTAGATTGGCTGTTAAAATAGTCGAAAGAAGCAGAAGATACATTTTCTGCAGCTGGAATAGCCAGGATTTAGTTCTGTCATGCTAGGTGGCAGAAAGACCGTTTACACACTTTGGAACTTATAAGAAACTTTTGAAGAAGCCAGTCTTTAGCATTTCATCATGTTTATTTAGGTAATTTGACAGTAAAATGTTAATAGTCTGCTGTGCAGTTGACTGCGCTAACAGATAAGTGTTTAAACCAGTGTGAGGGGGGTGGGGGTGGGGGGTGGGGGTGGGGGGGTGGGGGTTCCCAAGGCGCTGAACACGGTACATGAGAAAAAAATGGTAAAAACATTAAAGTAGAAAACAAATGGGTAAAACGAGACATAAAGAGACCAATGAAAGCAGGGAATTAAAATCAACATAAATGAAGCCGGCGGCTAACAGATAAGTGTGTAAACCAGTGGGAAGTGTGGTGGTGGTGGTGGTGGTGGTGGTGGTGGTGGTGGTGGTGGGGGGGGGGGTCGGGGGTCACAAGACAGCGTTTCCCTGCCGTAGACGAGGACTGCCAGGTCTCCGATGTAGCCTAGTTGTCTTTAGATTGGCTGTTAAAATAGTCGAAAGAAGCAGAAGATACATTTTCTGCAGCTGGAATAGCCAGGATTTAGTTCTGTCATGCTAGGTGGCAGAAAGACCGTTTACACACTTTGGAACTTATAAGAAACTTTTGAAGAAGCCAGTCTTTAGCATTTCATCATGTTTATTTAGGTAATTTGACAGTAAAATGTTAATAGTCTGCTGTGCAGTTGACTGCGCTAACAGATAAGTGTTTAAACCAGTGTGAGGGGGGTGGGGGTGGGGGTGCCCAAGGCGCTGAACACGGTACATGAGAAAAAAAAGGTAAAAACATTAAAGTAGAAAACAAATGGGTAAAACAAGACATAAAGAGACCAATGAAAGCAGGGAATTAAAATCAACATAAATGAAGCCGGCGGCTAACAGATAAGTGTGTAAACCAGTGGGAAGTGTGGTGGTGGTGGTGGTGGTGGTGGTGGTGGGGGGGGGGGGGGGTCGGGGGTCACAAGACAGCGTTTCCCTGCCGTAGACGAGGACTGCCAGGTCTCCGATGTAGCCTAGTTGTCTTTAGATTGGCTGTTAAAATAGTCGAAAGAAGCAGAAGATACATTTTCTGCAGCTGGAATAGCCAGGATTTAGTTCTGTCATGCTAGGTGGCAGAAAGACCGTTTACACACTTTGGAACTTATAAGAAACTTTTGAAGAAGCCAGTCTTTAGCATTTCATCATGTTTATTTAGATAATTTGACAGTAAAATGTTAATAGTCTGCTGTGCAGTTGACTGCGCTAACAGATAAGTGTTTAAACCAGTGTGAGGGGGGTGGGGGTGGGGGTGTGGGGGGGGGGGGGGGGTGCCCAAGGCGCTGAACACGGTACATGAGAAAAAAAAGGTAAAAACATTAAAGTAGAAAACAAATGGGTAAAACAAGACATAAAGAGACCAATGAAAGCAGGGAATTAAAATCAACATAAATGAAGCCGGCGGCTAACAGATAAGTGTGTAAACCAGTGGGAAGTGTGGTGGTGGTGGTGGGGGGGGCGGGGTGGGTCGGGAGTCACAAGACAGCGTTTCCCTGCCGTAGACGAGGACTGCCAGGTCTCCGATGTAGCCTAGTTGTCTTTAGATTGGCTGTTAAAATAGTCGAAAGAAGCAGAAGATACATTTTCTGCAGCTGGAATAGCCAGGATTTAGTTCTGTCATGCTAGGTGGCAGAAAGACCGTTTACACACTTTGGAACTTATAAGAAACTTTTGAAGAAGCCAGTCTTTAGCATTTCATCATGTTTATTTAGGTAATTTGACAGTAAAATGTTAATAGTCTGCTGTGCAGTTGACTGCGCTAACAGATAAGTGTTTAAACCAGTGTGAGGGGGGTGGGGGTGGGGGTGCCCAAGGCGCTGAACACGGTACATGAGAAAAAAAAGGTAAAAACATTAAGGTAGAAAACAAATGGGTAAAACAAGACATAAAGAGACCAATGAAAGCAGGGAATTAAAATCAACATAAATGAAGCCGGCGGCTAACAGATAAGTGTGTAAACCAGTGGGAAGTGTGGTGGTGGTGGTGGGGGGGGGGGGGGGGGGAGTCACAAGACAGCGTTTCCCTGCCGTAGACGAGGACTGCCAGGTCTCCGATGTAGCCTAGTTGTCTTTAGATTGGCTGTTAAAATAGTCGAAAGAAGCAGAAGATACATTTTCTGC